TGTCTTTTAGGTACTGAAGCCACTTAAAAGAGAAATCCTCTTTCTTGACCCGTTACACACAAAGGCAGGATTTGGTGGCCAACAATATGTTTCACTTTTGAGGTCACATTTTTATAAGCCTTTTTGGTTTGTTCCAGAATTTTCAGGAACCTGTTCAGTGTTCCAGGTTAAGTGCATGATCATGTTCTGCTGATCTTGAGTGTTCACACATACAGTACACTCATATGCTTTTTTTATAAACTATATCAGCATGATGCTTCAACATTTTATTCTATTTCTCATCTTCACATTCTGATCAAGTCAGTGATGCTGTCTTTAGATGAGTTTCAGACATAAATAGGGTCTTCAAACGTTTTAGTTTAACATAAAACACCATTAAATATTAGTTTATAAAATATGCCAACCTCAAATTAAAGCTGAAAATGCTTTATTTTGACCAACTGTGAGCATGTGACTGTACTTTTTCATTTTGTTATGCTGTTTTGTTGAGGTCATGTTCCTAAGACCTGTAGTTACAGTTGGTGCTATTAGCAATAAACATTTCACACCCATCATGATGATGTCTGTTAACTTGTGAATGTAACTGTATTGAAAAAAAGGAATCTTGCAGTGAAGCTCATTCCCGGGCAGTGGTCAGAAAAAAACAGCTTTGACTTGAAGGAGGTATTTATATTTTGACTTCTGTTCTATGTTGTGTTAAAGTTTACACTCCTTAACAATATCAACATTTCCTGTTAAGCTCTGGAAAGCTATTTGCACACTGGAGAGAGGAAGCCAAAGCTGTGCTTGAAGGACAACACGTGCCCATTTTCAGACTGAAAAAGCGCAAGTTCCAGGAAGTCAGTCAGGTCAGTATTCACTTTAAACAGTAGTGTAATTACATGGTAAGTGACATTTGAATAACTGTTAAAAACTGTTCTGCAACAGAGAAATAGCTTTGTTTTTATCTCCATTTGTCTGACACAGGAGCCAGCAGTTGTTGAAGATCTGCGTCCTGCTGTGCAGTGGGTTGTCCAAAATAAGGCACTTTTCCGTGGACACGTAACAATGCCAAAATATCTGTCCTTAAATCAAGGGGACCAGCAGAGGGTCTTAAGAGACCTGTCAGAGGAAGAAGACACTGGAGCAAGGGACATGTTCCTCTTTGTTTTTCAGTTTGCAGAGGACATGGAGCTCTTTTTGAAAGCATGTGCTGATGAGCAGGGACTAAGGGTCAGTGCTATGTTTGACATGTAATGGACAAATGAAGGCACTGACTGTGTTTGTTTGTTTGTTTGTTTGTTTAATATGTCGTTGTTGTTGTTTTTCTATAGTACAAAATTCCAATTAAACTTATTTCAAAATGTTGTTCACTTGATTCTATGTCCATACTTATAAGAAAGGATTACAGTGTAACAGCATTAAATGTAAATGTAACAGCATTTTTTTTTACTTGTAATTTCACAATAAAAAGCTTATTGTTGATATTAACAGTAAAGAATTGTAATCAATAATAATTGTATACTCTGGGTTCTATCCTGGCTATTTGTGGCCACTTCACTCAAGATTCACTTATTCTTTTTTTTTTTTTTTTTTGACTGCTGCACTGCAGTGGACCAAAAGAATGACACGGGTTTGATCTTAAGGATCTAATAGTTGTGTGTGTTATGTATGACATTGCCACACAAATATGTATTTGCAAGATAGAGTAGAATAAATTATGACGCATCAAATATCACATAGGCTGCAGTGAATTTCTGTTGATATAGACTATTGAGCTTTGAGTTTCCCAGTCAAACTTAGCTTTGAAGCACATGCTAAAAACACTTTTACTCTTGTACACTTCATAACAAGACAGCATAACCAAAATATTAACAAAATTTATATTATTAAAAAATTCAAAGCTGCAGCACATACAGCAACAAACACTGTTAGTAAATGTGTCCTGGAGTTTATGCAGGTGCAGAAAGTGCTTCTGCTGTAAATAAGCCTAACAGCTTCCAGATCACTTATTTTTCTGGAAAGATGGTAGGAAGGGCATCACTGCTCATTTCTACAGTCTCCCAGGTCTTGGAATACAATGCGTTTGTACCATGGAACCACTTCACAGTACTAGGAGTCCATTAAAACCTATAAAGAGAGTGATCCTGGAAGAAATGGGGCACACACTAGTGACCTCAACAATTGCAAGACAGCCTTTTCCCCGATGCTCAGATGGGGAAAAAAAGGAACTATCATGATGACATTAGGACTTTATCACCGTTGAGCAAAAATAATAGTGCATAATAATCAGTGTTGATGTTAATCAATTAGATGTCCCAGACTCTACTATTACTAATACAGCAGTCCCTCGTTTATTGCAGGAGTTACGTTCTAAAAATAACCCGCGGTAGGTGAAGTCCATGAAGTACCCAACTTTATTTTTTACAATTATTATAGATGTTAAGACTGTAAAAAAACCTCACTACATGCTTTATACACTTTTCTCAGACGGGCACACTTCTTAATGCTCTCTGATCGCTATGGTAACGTGTAGATAGTTCTTTTGTGCTTCCAGCTACTGTGGAGGTCACGTGTTTCCGGTTGGTGAGGAGGTCACGAGTTTCCGGCTACTGTGGAGCTCCACAGATAAGACACACTACTACAACCATACATTTCACACAGGAGCTTTTTATTTCTCAGCAGCATCAATAGTAACAAAATCGCAATTTGGTCAAAGTCAATTTAAGTAAAGTTACGTGTTTCTGGTTACTGTGGTGGTCACGTGCTTCCGGCTACTTGTAGGTCACGTGTTTCCGGTTCGTGTGGAGGTCACGTGTTTCCGGTTGCTGTGGAGCTCCACAGCGGCCGCAGCCAGGCTGCAACGGAAAAAGTCGTGAAATTAGTGTCTTTAATGCCATATAATGTTTAATAATAATAGTCGTCTTTCAGTTTTATTCATGGTGAAAATAAACACGAAATAATAAGAAAGATAAACAAAAAACGAAAATAAATTCAACAAATCAACTCTAAAACTGATCAAAAATACAATAAATGGATAATTCATTTAGTAATTGAAGAGCATTAGAATACATCATGTGACGTGCTTCCAAAAGCCTTCTTAAAACGTCTGGAATTGCTATGTACTACATGAGAAACATGAGCCAAGTCAATAAATGGTTTGATGATGTTTCCTATTTGGTGTACATTTGAAAATGGGCAAAACGTTTTGTTTTAATAAATGTTTATATCATAAATAATAAGCAAATAAATGTCATTAGCCTGCATGTTTGTTGCATAAAATAAAGATAAGTATGACAAGATCTTTTTGAAATAAACAGAGCTTTGAATAATGCATCATCCATAAAATTAATGCTTTTCTCAAATTACAATTTTTGCCCCTATAAAGTGTATGAAATTTCAAATTTACAGTTACTATCCATCAATCCATCCATCCATTTTCAGCCACTTATCCAGAGTCGGGTGGCAGGGGGCAGACTTCCCTCTCCCCAGCTATTTGGGCCAGCTCCTCAATGGGGATCTCAAAGTGTTCCCTGGCCAATTGAGAGACATATCCCCTCCAGTGTGTCCTGGGTCTTCCCTTGGGTCTTCTCCCAGTTGGACGCGCCAGATAAACCTCACCAAGGAGACGTGCAGGAGGCATCCTGACCAGATGCCCGAGCCACTTCAACTCGCTCCTCTCAACGTGGCGGAGCAGCAGGTCTACTCCGAGCCCCTCCCGGATGACCAAGCTTCTAATCCTTTCTCTAAGGGAGAGCCCAGACACCCTGGCACAAAGCCTCAGACAACTTAGCAGTTAATACATTTGAAAAAACTAGTAAAAAAACAAGGAATTTTTAAAGATTTAGTAATAAAACTTACCAGCAAAATTGTGCAAAGTGAAGTTTTACAGCACAATGTGAACCACTGTCACACTGACTGCACAGTAGGACGCAATATGCTCAAACAATCCTGTAAAATAATGGAACACACCAGGACTAAGAATATTTTCTTTGCAAAAGAAAAAAATATATTTTTATGTCATGTAAATGTCAGAGTTTCTGTAGGAACAGAACTAACTTGCCCTATTTTAACAGAAGAAGCCCCAGACTTGCTTCTGGAGCAGAGATGGTTGCAGGGACAGCCTGTCACAGCGTGACTAATGATGGATGACTGCAGTTTAATTACATTTTGAGGGTATCACTTATCTACTGTTGGCTGGAAAGAAATGAAGCATTTCAGTACCAGTCGGTGAAATACGCTGATAAATCATGGCTAGTTTTTTATTGTTTGTGAAAGAACTGCAGCAATCATGTGCATCCATCCTGTTGTTTTCTCTCTTTATCCTTTGCTCTTCTCCATTGTTTCAGCAGCAGATTATTGCATTAATCTGATAAAGATTACCTTAATCTTTGATGGAATGCAAAAACAAACCAGTGCAGGAAAAATAAAATTCCCTTGAAAATGAATGCCAGTGGAAATCTGCTTACTCTGGATTTACACGGTGAAGTCCCTTGCCCCCGGATAGGCTGGGGGAGGAGAAGCCCTGTGGAGTTAGCCCATATGGCAGAACAGTTGGCCCATGTATATTTTTTAGGTCTTGATAGTGCTCTATGTAATCTACTAGGACATCATTCAGAGCTTAATCTCTGTTGAATCGTGGCGGTGCATCTAATAGTGTCATTTGCCTCTTTACTCTTCCACTGTCACCATATCTGAGAGTTGACATTTATGCAAGAAGTGGTCGGACTACATTAGAGTGTGTGAGAAATTCTGTGCCCCAGGACAGATTCCCTTTCATGTGATGTGTTTTGTATGGTTGGCTGGTGAAACCACGATGCTGACGAGGAGCCTTGCACGTCATTCTAAGATTACATTTCAGAAAGAAAATTTCCTTTTTTAGTCTTTTCTTCTTCTTTTTTGGGATTTTTATTCATCCCGTTTCTGTGCGGCTGCACAGGAGTCGAGTAAACACCATGCAGAGATCAGAGCAAAAATCAGATAGGGAGGGAGGGAGGAAAAGGGGAGGTGGGGGTTAGACTGTTTGTGTGAGAGAAACAGCCAGGAGGAAGAGGGACAGAAGAGTATGCGTTTCACCTCCTGTGATCAGTTTTCCTTGGAGATCCATCATCGGCAGCATCTGTGGAGGAGAGCAGGAAGAAAGTGGCTAGATTCTTCTCCCATCACAAACCAGAACCTCAAACAAGTAAGGGATACGCTTGAATCGTCCAGCTTAATGGTGCTTTTTAACACCAAGAAAATAAATTTGTGTTTAAACTTTTAATCTTCAGACACAAATTCATCGTTTCATGACGGCGTGCTGAATTTGTGCATATCTCTGGGTGAAATCAGTCACTTTAATGGTAATAAATTAGTTTTTATTAGCAATATTCTTTAACTTTGGGTGTTTTTACACAACCAAATGCTGATTTGTACTCAAATTAGGTTTTCCATGCAGCCTAAATGAACAGTGAATGCATTTAGATTGAAGCTGGGGCTGTTTTGCATGAATACTTTGATCGATTGCGTTGAGATCTCATCTTATCATCACACCGAACCTCATTCAACCCGCTGTTTGTGCAAATTAAAATCTCTGCTGTGCATGTATCACATGTCTTATTTCCTTATGGAAGCATGAATTTTAAATCAAAGAGCTGCATTTAATCCTCAGACTGAATGCATTTTTGCAGCAGCATATCTGAGTGTTAAAATTGCAATCAAGCCACTTGATTTTTAATGCATGTGCTTCTTCTAATCACCGGTTAACGCCAGCTGCCTGATTCGGAGCAGCTGTTTGTTAAAGCTCAGATTCAGGGCATCTCAATCAGCTTCAATTTCTTTCTCCACGCTCATTTGTATGTATGAGGGCAGTGGAATTGAATGATACTGAGACCCGTGTTTCAACTGTGTTCAAATGATCCATAGATGGTACACACACACACACAGAGGCGTGGGGCTTTGATGACTTGTCCTGAGAGAATCTACTCTTGCCCCAGTTTCTGTCACTGAAAAGACACTGGTTAGAAAGAAAGGAGAGCAGCAGCTGGAAAACAGACTCACAGAGATGCAAGAGCCCTGTTCCCCCTCCTGCACAGACCCCCCCCCCCCCCCCCCCCCCCCCCCCCGTGAATGGGCTATACCTCACAAATTTCACAGTTCACAGGCTTTAATGAGGTGGTGCAGGCTGTCCATCATCCTGACTGTGGAGCGCCTCAGCCAGCAGACCCAACGGTCACACAATTGACTCCGCTGTATGCTTGGCGTTTGTAGGATCACAAGAGCAACAAAGTGGTATTTTTAGCCACATCCTAATTTGCATATGTTCAGGGTAAGGAATCTTTTATCTATCGAGATGTTGGGACTTAAATGTTTAGAAACATCTTCAGATGGATGCAAACAAAAGAGGAAACAGAGCTCAATCTCTGCACGTGTGCTGTGGATGCTCTCCTTTATTACTGTAAAGATGATAAGTAAATTTAAAAAGCAGGATGATCAGGAGCCAGGTGCAGCCACCTGAATCATCCTGCATACAAGCAGCAAGGAGGAGTTCATCGCCCCCCAGCTTGATGCTAAACCTCCCCCTTTCCAGCACAAATGCAGCAGTTTGAGTCTCTGTTTTGCTATTTTAAGCATAAAAGGGGGTTTGTAAGTTTATTGCAGTTGTAGTTGTTGCTGACACGCGCAGAAGCGTGCTTGTTTTGTGACCACTTCCTCATGAATCCCAGGAGAAGACCGAAGGAGGGAGGCTGCTGATGTGTGGTTGCTTGGAGACTGCTGTAGGTGGATTATGAAATGCAGAAGGACAACAGAGGCTACTCACTCAGCTGGGAGCGTGTCGAGTTGTGTAATGATGGGAAATGTCAGCTGAGGCCAAAAGAAGGGAGGTGAAGTGGAAATGTGAATTAAAAAGCCGTCACACAAATTCCTTTAATGTGTGTTTCATTAGATTCTGTCAGAAATGAGCTCATCCGTGGTGTTTCCCCCAGATCTACTTAAAGCTGATTTCACTGAGTGTGTTTACACTTGAGCCTAATTATGCACTTTTTCTGACAGAAATGGACGCCCCTCTTTCCACACCCTTTAATATCAAGATCTGTGAGGTGACTTGTGACTCTTTTCGCATCATGTGGGACATGGCCCCCGAGGATTCAACCAGAGCTACACATTTCTTCATCGACCTGAGCCGCAAAGAGAACAGGGACCCCAACCGCTTCAAACACAGGGTCTGAAACTGCTGCATTGTCTCAACCGTAGACCGACCGCTCCGCTGTGTGATCGTCTCCTGAGTCACAATGTTTGGTTTTCACTGCGTTTTATATGAACTACATGCATCTTTTATTAGGTGTAGCAGATTGCTTTGTGATATTTTACATTGTTGGGATTTGAAAAATGAATGTAGACTAGTTAGGCCGCTTCAGTCACTTCCCATACTGGCTAAAAAGGAACTTGTGACTGGTCAACAGCTTCAGGCCTGTGACTCATGAGCATTGTTTCTGTATTAAAGTGGATGAATGCTGACAACACTGGACAGTTTCTAACTTGACTGCTGCCAGAAAACATAAAGTAAAATAGTATTATTTTTTTAAAAGGTTTGTTACAATATATATCTTCAAGTGAATTTCCTTGAAAGACTTCAACCAGTGGCGCCCCCAAGGGGTGGCTAGGAGGGGCCAAGGCCACTTTTGGAAAATTGTTGGCCACTTCACTGCCATCCCCAGACATGACCACCCCCTTAAATCACATACATTTTTACGCAAACCATACATTAATTTTCTTCATTCAAAACATAAATGTTAAGCCAATAAATACATTTATTAAAAAATTCTTTATAAATAATTTATCTGTGAAATCACTATATAAATACATATGTATGTCACTGAGGCTCACCTTTAAAAAAATTAAGAAATTCAAAAAACATTTTGTGGATGTTTCTCTTGAAACATGAACAGGCAAATTAAACAGTTTTAAAATTCAAAACAATAAAATCTGAAACAACAATGGGATGATAATAATGGTTTGAAAGTTTGTCTTTTTTCTGAAATTTTTGTGTTTCTTAGATTTAAGAAAAAATGTGTTGGATTTACTGGTCTATTTGTCTTTTTAATGAGAAAGCTAAACTCTCCCAAGCCCTTAACACACCGTGCCGGCAAGTTGGCGTAATATTGTTGCAACGGTGCGTCTCATAAACGCACCAATCTGGCGTGGCGTTGCACAAATTTTGCGGCATTCATTCCAGCTTGGTAGTAATATTGAGGTAACTATCTAAGAAATGGCGATTGCGCCTTGGCACAACAGAGGGAGGTGTCATGATGACGTGGGAAGTTACTGCCGTGCTCCGACCGGCAACTCTATTGAAAATGAAAGTAAACACAGGCAGTAAGTTTTGCTTTTTGAGCAAAATCAGCTGAGATGTTAAATCGGCTTCAATCGCAATAAAAAGCAAGTTGTATCAAAGCTAAACGGAAGTCTGCGGTGAGGCCGCCCCCAAAACCCCTCTATGCCACCATCACCTAATCTTTTATGAAAAAGGACACGGTTGCATCACATTACCGCCACGGTCTGACCTAAGGCCCCCTGATGCCACAAAGGCATTGTGGGAAATTGGTGGCATTGTTTTTAAAAAGTGACTCCAGAGTTACCACAAGAGCCAGTTTGGTGTGCTACCTCAACACTTTCAATGGCCGTATCTGGCCACTGGGGGCGTCAGTGACCACAACCATCTGGTGCTTTCCAAATAAACCTGCTGTAGTAAATCAATAGCCACTTGGTGGAAAATCTAAGTACTGCAAGTAGCAAATCCCAATTATTTTTAATCATTAGATTAGGCTACTTCTTTGAGAAAATACGCGTTATTATCCACTAAACTATTAAAATAACTTAAATCATTCTGATTTCTACAGACTTTAAAACATTATTTTGTATTTTTAAAATCTAAGTCCATTAGTCCCAAGTGGTTTTTACAGATGTGTTTGCAGAAAAGATGGCTAATTTGTGAACGTTTTACCATCCCTCTATTTACCTTTGTTTTTCTTATTTCAGATAATTTTTTGAAACTTCTAGCTCTTGTCAAACCTACATGTGCCAAAACCCACCCGAGTTATGATTTAGTTTCAGTGGTTAACGTTTTTCTTCATAATCTTGTGTTTCCCTTAAAATCTAACACATTCATTAAATGCAGATGTCTATGTGAAAACAACAACAACAAACAAAAAAAAAAAACAGACTTCCGTTCCTGCATGTGCAAATGACTGAGTAATGATGGCTTGTTGTTGCAGTCTGTATTCAGTAAGTGTAAAGATGCTTTTCTGGAATCAACGAAGAGATGGGACTGAAAAGTAACCGAGGTTATGTTCTCTCCCTGATAGCTGCACACACGGTGCCACAAACAAACTTGCATCAGATTTGTTGCCATGGATACAAGGACCTCTGAGTCCACAGTAATTGGCTCTGCTTCTCAGAGGCTAACCATAAAAAAGTTGCTGATTTGATTAGAAATGGAATATTGTGCCAAGTAGCAAAGTTTAAGAAGAAAAAGTAGTAGCTCCTGCAGCTGTTTTTGCAACTTTCTCATTTATAGTGGTTTAAACACACAGCAGCCTTGTCTTGGTTTTATTTTCTGTTCCTAATGTCTGTTTTAACATTTCATCATTCAGGATGTGCCCACCAAACTGGTGGCCAAAGCTGTTCCTCTCCCCATGGCCGTTAGGGGACACTGGTTCCTCAGCCCGAGTACGGATTACTGTGTGGCTGTTCAGACGGCTGTCAAGCAACCGGACGGCGACTACCTGGTGTCAGAGTGGAGCCAGATAGTGGAGTTCTGCACGGGAGGTAATTTCTCAAACCATAGAGCTCAAGTTACCATCTTAAGAGCTAAATGTGCACCAGAAGTGAAGTGCACTCATCTCTCAGCAGAAGGTTGTTATTGATGTGTAAATGCAGGCTTGCACTTGGTGTACATTTTGCAGATTATGCTATGGAACACCTGCAGCAACTCCTTGACAAGGCCAAAGGTTCTGCAGGGCGGCTGCTGAAATTCTCTGTGTTCTATCGCAACCAGCATCCAGATTACTTTGACTATGTCAGGTAAGTGCTGAGTTGTGACCCTTTTGTTGCATTAAAGCCATGCTCACAGCAGTTCAGTGTGATGTTCAACATTTTTCTGTTCACATCCTGAATTAGGAGAGAATGCGGTGGACTGATGCGTCCAGCCCTAAAAGACACCAGCGGGAGTCACGGCTCTCCTATTAATGGCAAACTGCATGGAGTCTTCTTCAGCTGCAACACAGAGTTTGATACGGGGCTCCCTCCCAGAGACTCTCCGTACGGACCCCTGCGATTCCAGATCCCAGCTGGGTACCTGCTGAACCCTAACATCTGCCTGTATTTTGCTGACTTTTACTGTATGTACACAGCGTACCACTACGTAGTCCTGGTGCTGGCCCCCATCGGCACAGAGGGAGATGCATTCTGCCGCAGCCGCCTCCCCATGCTGGATTTAACCTCCAATCCCTTCCTGACCTTCACTGCCCCCAAGAGGCAGGGGGAGGAGCCTCTGTACTGCCACGCTAGTGATGTCATCCTGGAGGTGCTATTCACCGAGCCGATTCCCTTGGATCAGGGCGCTGTGGAGCAGATCAGCGGGCACCACCAGCTAATGAGTCTAACCACAGCCAACGCAAAGAAAGATCCGAGCTGCAAAGTTTGCAACATCAGCGTGGGGCGCTGATGAACCAGTGCAGGACACATGTGTGTTTAAGTCTGTGGCGCAGAGACACACAGCTGGACAAGACTATAAAACATCAGGTTGTTGAGACAGGCACATCCTGGGACTTGTCAAAGCTGCCTCCACCTTCCTTCCTGCCTGAAGTAGAAGTGTTTTTAAAAACCGATCCCTTGGAAAAATCTATGTAGCACAAATTCAACATGATCCCAGCAGGGGAAACAAGTAATATTCATACAAAGCCTCTGTATGGATTTAAAAAGTTATCCCTTGATGGGGTTTAGGTGCTCTCTTTTGTTGTTTGATGTTTTCCACTTATAACATTATATCCACCTTCCTAAGACGTTGCCTTGTTTGAGATAAAGTATTATGAACAATGCAAAAGTACTCATCCCATTAACTTCCTTCATGCAATGTCTTGCCAGATTTTCTTACTGATCAAACCTTAAAGAACACGTTCACTCATTTTCACCACATCTGCAGTGGTCTCTAGTATAAAAGTGTCTTGTGAGTCGATCTCCATGAAAAAATGTTCTGACCTTCCTGTTTCAGGAAGTGACAGTCAGAGGGGTAGGAAGCAGAAGAGGGTTTGGAGTCTTACTTCCTGATTTTGAGATATCTTGTCTCTGATTGGCTAACAGCAACATGACTCTACCGCTAACTTTGTTTATGTTCATTATTATCTCCACAAATAACACAAGCCTGGAGGAGTTCTGCTGTGGTGGGGAGATGCTAATGCTAACAGTTAGCTTCTACTAGCTAAGACATATGCTCTGCTCTCCTGGAAGCTAAATCAACAACAGACTTCCCCCGTTACGAGGTTACTGTGACATAGATCTGACAGGCTTTTCTAATCCGAGCGTTTCATCCTGTCTCTTTTCTATCGGCGGCTTATGCAGGAAACGGGGTGGAAGACTTTTTTCACGTTCAGCCTGAATGTGAAACTCAAAGTGACCGATTGTTTTACAAAAAATGAAAAACTGTTTCTCGGTGAACTTGCTCTTTAATGTGACCTCATGTGCATGAATCACTGCTACGCTTGTTTTTACCTTCGGTCTGACGTGTCCACACACCTTCCTGCTTTTAAAGCTAACATCAGTGTATTATTTAAAACTAGCAAACACTTTTAAAGTAAAATAAATGCAGCGGGGTTATGTGTGAGAGAATAATAATGAGGAGTGGTTCGGAGGTCTGTACACAAGTCTCAGCTAAGATTAGCTTGTTCCCTGCTCTGGGCCCAGTGATCTCTGACCTTTTTGGTGATGCCATCTATGCCTCATAGCGAAAGGGATCCCTCTCTGTTGCACAACAGTAATTCACAAAATTTAGACACTAGAGAGCAGAGTGAAAAACTACAACAGATGACTTTAATAATTTTATTCAAACAAAAAAGAAAATGTCATAAAAATGTGCACATTCCAACTCACATGCGTGGTAAATCTAGTGACCAAAGGTGGGGTTGGCTATGCCCTTTCACTTAGACCTTTGCCGTGGCAGAGGTGTGAGCTCACACACACCAGGATGCTGTAATTCTGTCCGTTGTTATTGTCCCAGAAGGGCTCACTCTGCCCAGCAGGCAAATACATTAAACAGAACTCGATCTTCCTCTTGGCGTCCAGGACTTTAGGAATAGCTACTTCAAATTCAAAGATGTCTGTCTGCGGGCCTCCAAAGCGTTTCTGCAGGTATGTGCATGGTACGTCCCTGTGGCTGTGCCAGGAGTCAAAGGTAATGTGGACACGCACGTTTTTCTGGAAGCTGATGTTCCTGACCCGGACAGTACCTTGTAGGGCTTGCTCATTAACGGTGCAGCTCTCCAGGATCACCATGCTTTCTGCCAGCTTGGCCCGAAAGGCCTGGAAATCTAAAGAGGGCTGCGGGAAGCCAAGTTTGAGTTGTGTCCCTGGGCAGCAGGTGCTGACGGTGCAGCTGTAGCCGTCCCCCGTCATGCTTCCCAAACCCTGCAGCGAGGGCAGCAGGCCGAGTTCAGACTGGTCCTCTTCATCGGAGAACACTCGTTCATCTGCTAGAGAAAACCCTAAAGAGTCTGCAAACACCACATGCTTGTTCTTGATCGGGAACAGAACATCATCATAGACGTCCTCCTCCAAGTCATCGAAGAAAGATGAGGACAGAAGAGTCTGGTGTCGCGTGACGTTGGCAGGCTGCTCTGATACCGGATTCCGGATGCAAGGCCGCAGGGGCTTGAGTATGGGAACCCACACATGAGGACACAGCTGTTTACGCTGGTTTAAGCACAACCTGACGGCGATCTCCACCAGTCCGGCCGTCTGGGCCATCGACCCCAGGCCAACCACTGGCAGGACACTTGCAAGGATGTAAAACAGGGATTTCAATAAGAACTGCTGGTTTAACTCTCAGGTGCATAAAATGCATCAAGTCATGGTGACTTATTTTACCCTCACTTCAAAAGAAGGTAATTCATCACGGTTCAGGACTTACGCTGGACTCGTCATCCTGCTTCTGGGGTCACAGGAATGTTGTCCTCAATGTTAGGCTGCAGTTTGAGAAAACGGAGAACTTTTATGCCAGAAATACCATAAACGTGATCATAAAAACGGTAAAGCTTCAGATTTACACTCATAAATAAAACCGTATGCCACGAGATTAAAAACTCAAAAGCAAATCTTCAAAAAAATCTCACCTACAAACTCAGATGAGCAGCAGGTTAAAGTGCCACTTTTATCCTTCTACCCACCGAGGAATCTGGTACCAAGTCCTATTTATACCGGCTCATCAAGGAAGTCATGTAGTAGACTCCGCCCACCTCAGCCTCCCGACCAATCAGCCAAAAGGTTTGTTGTGCTCCTTTAACGTTTTAATATGCCTAATAGCATTTGTTCTTGTTGAAAGCAATATGTTCCTGTTTAAATGTTTGTTTCTTAAAGTTGACTTTGATGGTAATAAAAGACATAAATAAGGTCGGAGTAAAATCGTGGCTTCTGTTTCTTTGTGGGCGGAGTTGATGGGGTGGATGGAGCACACAAGGCTCCATTTTCCGATGTAATTTGACTCTGCTTTGTAGAAAACATCCCAGCCATCCTGGGCTCTATTCTCAGACCTGTCAGCACACACCAATCCCACCGAGGCCTGGGGCTGGATCCCAGCCTCTGCTGGCTGGCTCCTGCCTCGTCCCGCAGCCCCATAAAGCATGCGTGGCGCCCAGAAAGGCTGGATTACAAACAAGTCTCAGCAGGCAGTAGTTACACTACACACGCCCTACACGTAGATACTTAACCTCACATCACCTCCGAAGATTCCCGTCAGCATCGGACACACATGCTTGTTTGAGCTCAAATTTGAATGTGTTAAGCCCATTTAAAGGTTTTCTTTTCTTTTTAACTTTAGATTTTGTGTCCGATTTAAGGGAAATATTTCTGTTTACATTCATTTTTTATGACAAAAAGACACATGCTGTGTGTGCCAATGAACTGTGCTTATTGTTCCTTGCCTCAATAGTATCCTTGAAGGGATGTAGATCTCTCACATTCATTCATGAGTGATGAAGTTGTAGCCATTTTGGTCTTAAAAACGTTAAGGGGGGAGTCTGATGGAATAGACCTTGTGTGATCTGTAATGTGGATGACTAACAGATTTATGACTGTTTTTGAGTTTGGGTTAATCAGTTGTACATTTAGATCTGATTAAAGGTTCATCAGATGCCTTCTGTACGTTCATTCTGTGTATTTTGTAAACTTGTATTGCTTGGTTCTTTCAAAACACAGAAAACTCTGCAACAAAACACACATAAACCAGACGCCAACTCAACACACGAACAACAAAACATAGAAAGGAGTGTGAGAAGGAAACAAGTCGAAGACACACAAGAGCAGCAAACCAAGAATCAGAAAGTACAATAAAGAAATCTGCCATAACTGATCACTGCATAAGGGAAAGGAACACAGATCATAAACACCGAACAACAAAAATATAGAAGATGGATTAGAGAAGCTATAGCAATAAGGAGACAGGGACACACAACCATGAACAGAAACAATGGGGTCAACACATTGGATCATGCATGGGACTGTGTCATCAACGAGGACGGCGCGGGCAGCAGAGGGCACCATCATCCTCTGCTGCCCGCGGATAACCGGAGAAGGAAGCGATGCCACCAACATCAGCACAACTCTGATGATGGCTATAGTTTTTAGCCGAAACGTTAGCATAACAAGGTAAAGAGCAACTCATTTTTTCCTGTTTTAAAAAACCCAAACAATGCAGGTTCACCACGTGTTTTGCTACTAGGGTTTACTTAAATAACAGCCAAAGTTTTAAGGAAAGATGTTGAGTAATATATGTGAATTGGTGTGTAATTACAATATAATAACAGCACTTCAATTACAGTTGCTTAAGAAACAATTCAGTAGGTTTCAAAATAAAAATATTTGGCAAAATCTATTTCAGACACATTACAGTATTTGTAACAGCATGTATTTTCAACTTCAAATCAATTCATTCACGTAATTTATTTATACATCTTGAGCTAGGTGAAATTCGGGATACACCCATACACAAATTTGGGTTGATATCAATATCCAACATTAATACAGCTGTTACGGCTGATGATAACCAATACTACATATATTATTTGTATTTCCCTACATCCAGGGAATGAATTACAGAGACTTCTGTGTAATTATATTATTTTGGTGGTGCCACTTTGAGAATTTTACTGTGGCTGTGTGCAGGATGCAGCTGCCTGGAGTGCTCTGCCGCTCTCAGTCCTCTCCACTCATAAGACCCCTGGTACGCTGAAAGTCCATATAAAGAATGTAATATATAGAAAGGAGACCTCTTCTTGGACGGCCTCTGGGTGCGTAAACTGAGGGCTTATAGAGGAGCCCTCATTAGCTCGAACCCTGCCTACAGTTTTCTCTTGAAACATACGCAAATGGCAACAAGACAAAAATAACCACTGGTTGTTTCTATTGGCCCAGTTTTACTTAATGGACGGATACAACTATTTAAAAAATGTCTTATATTGGCTAATACCAATATTGATGCCAATGTATCTTGCATCTCGTTATTATTGCTTAGGCTCGGCCTTCAACAAGGGGGTCACACACCTGCCCCTGAGGTCAGATGGTTGTAGCGGCCATCCTCGAACTGGATCTGCTCCAAAAGTTAACTAGCTGCAGATGAACATCTGCTATACTTTCCATTTTCTTTAAAACCCATCCAGTGGTTTGTGAAATGTCTTGCCAACAGTCAGGGTTGACCTAATGGTTAGTTAAACTAAATAAAGTTTGAAACAATGATCTTGTGTGATTATTAGTTAGATATTTCCATGTCTGTAAGGCTGGTGGAGTTGTAGTTGCTAATACAAATGCTGATTAGCATTGGTGGCCATCCTGAATAAAGTTTGCTCCAAAGTTTAACCAGCTGTTGATGTACATCCAATGATTAAATCGGGAGACTCATTAAAACCCATCATGAGATATTTTGTACACACACATAAGCCATGGCGGCATATCAGGGTTCTGATCGTGTCATGTTGCCGCCACAGGCTGACCACTTATAAATGACCAAAGGCTTGCTGATGCCTCCTCCAATCTGAAGCGAATTGGCGCCATTGTTCTTTTGAAAAAGGCTATAGGCAAAAACGTCATCACCGACCATGCTAAACAGCTATTTATTAATCAAACATAGATTTAGTAGATCGGACATGAGCCGATTCATCAGCAATAGCCAGATAATAGTGAGCAGACCCTCCCCCCCCAGCTCATTAGTTCCAGTTAACTGAGCGATTACTGAGAGCAGACACAATACGCAGTGACTGAGTGACTGCATCATCTTACACAACAATGCTGTTAGAGTAATTATAGGTCAGGAAAGACGACTCAAACATTTTCAGGTTTCAATCTGAGGAGTTTATAAGAATAGTTAATAATCAGGTAAAGTGGACCGCACACGAGATATTTGCTAACACCTAATTAAAACACAATCGTATGGATGGCCATCAATCGAATGGCGCCTATGTAAAACAGCTGACTTCAGCATGAACGCACGCGAACATGCATCCAGACCTAAAAGTGACAGGAGCTCTGATGCCAAGTGAACCGAACTTTTCGCCTTCAGGTCAACTGATGCATTCTGTTACCGAGCAGTGGGATGTCATGCGATACAGCGGCACAGGAAGGAATGTGATTATTAACACAAAAACACACACGACTACACTTTAGTTGTTTTATGATTTAACAGTAAAACATCCAAAAATAGCATCACAAGCATCCCTCCCCACGGTGTCATGAATGTTATCTACATTCAAATCACACAAGTTAGTCCTTTCTCCAGATGATAAAGAATCAGTTTGTGTTTCCCGGTTTTATCTGTGTGGTTTCAACAGACTAAACTGCCTTTTTTTCATTACAACTCCAGCAAAAACAAATATATACAAGTGCTGAAATGTAGGATCTCCTGGAGTAAAAAAACATCCTCAGCAACACCTGCAATGTAAAAATAAGTGTTAGTTGCATTTCGTTGCCCATTGTAATTACAGAACTGTCAATTTTAATCCACAGCCAACCTAAATACTGCAGTTTTCTTTGTTGCCAAGAGATAAAACAGTGGAGCTAAAAATAAATTCAGATTTCACAGCAAAGAGTTTGCTTATGTAACATCTGCAGAGTGGAATTAGCGGATGTCTACGCAAGAGAGGTCATGAATGAGTTAACGAGATGTGTTTTTTTTTATAACGGATCTCAACTCACCCTGATTTTCAAATCAGCTGCACCGCTCCGTTTGACACCAGCGGCGCTACGGTGCGGTATCGCATCAAATGCTGCGAGCCCTCTTCCAGATCCACAATATATTCTCTGACAGAAGAGGTGTTATTTTTCAGTATTTATACCTTAAACATATCACTAGGTGTACAACGACAACACTGCTACCTACTGGATATTGAATGAACAGCAACCATGAGGAGAACTACCTCTGATCGTCGGTTTCAGGCTCCACCAAAATATTTTCCTGTTTCTCCTTCACTCGCAGAAACACAAAGGAGTCCAAGCAAGGCTCGGGCACTGGAATTGGATCAATCACAGGATTTAGTGCATCAGCCCGTGTGTGTGTGTGTTGCAGTAAATGCCACAAATGGCAATTTCCAAGGAAGCAAATATAATGTTTACCTGCTTTGAGCAGATCTACAGTCTGTAAGTTGAGTGGCATTCGCTTCAGCGCTACAGCCTTTAGGTAGGTTTCTGTGTTGGTGTAATACCTGCACACAACATTAAAATTAGTTTTTATTATTAAAATCCTAAATCAAACAGTTGACGTCACTCTATGCTCACTCTTTAGCAAAAGCAAACTCCTCAGGAGAGAGCAGAGATGGCTGTCCTTCCACTCGAGACTTCTCCCTCTCCAGGACGTGAGGAAAGAACTTTTCAATCTGAACACAGACAGCGTGACAGATCAGTGCTTTTTTTAAAGGTAAAGGAGAAACCGCGTAGATCTTTACGTTACTTCGACTGACTTTTTGCAGACGAGAGCGCAGGTAGCTGCTGAGGACAAAGCGGATCCTGTCTATTTCCATTCGGTGGAAGCTGGCTTTGGCATCACCTTTCTTTACCCGTTGCAGGTTTGATTCCTGTTTGGGGAAATGCCACAAAAAATAAATAAAAATTTATTTAAAAAAAAAAAACACTACAAATAACACAGATCTGGAATATTAAAGAGCCACAGTAATCTAATGTCAGGATTCCAGTAGATAAATATCCTGATAGAAGAGAAATAAAAGCAAAAATTTCACCTTGAGCTCTTAGAAGACACAATTTTACACACCCTGGGGTCAAAATTCACTTGTAAGTCGCTTTGGACAAAAGCGTCTGCTAAATACATAAACATAAACATAAATATAAAGGTCAACTCTGAAAATAATCTACTTGTATTAGTTTATTATGTAAAATGTAATCACTGCATTAGTAAAGCATCTCCTTTAAAGTCTAGAGTAAAGCAGAAACAGGAGCTAATGAACAAAACGCTTCGTTTTTTTTTTACCACAATAAGAGAACATAAAGTATTGTTCCCACGCCTGCTTCAACAAACACTTTGAGGTTGTTTCTAGTAATTAGTCAAACACAAATCTGTTTTTCACACAGGATAATCTGACATAATATTTGTTATCGGCAAGCATTTAAATCATCACTTCACTAATCTAATGAATAGTCAAAGCAGTTTAATGTAATTAAAGGCAGAATCAGCATCAATTATTTAAATATAAATCTTTATTTTGATGCTTGTCTTATTGATTAATTTGGTATAACTAATAGAAACTAATCTAAATAAATGTTAAATATGATGTTAGTTTAGTTTCGTGTGTTTATTTTCTCCGGTATGCTCTGCTGTCTACAGCGTTTCCACTAAACAGCCAGCACTTGTTGAACATGAAACTAGAGAGTGATTGTGTGTGTTACAGAGAATCTGAGAGGTATTCCCCAGGTAGTTACCATATGAGTCAGCTGCTCCATCACACACTCCACCACCTCGGACTTGTTCTCCAGCAGCTCTGGGGAGAACTTCTCGTTCAGCCAAGCCTGCGGGTCACAAACACACCTGTAAGGCACAGCTGGCACAACATTAAAGCCAGGAAACAGCAGACCCAAAGACCCACAGTTCGACTTAAAACGTGATAAATCAAATAAAAAGACTCACTTCTTCTAGTTTAGCTATCAGCTCCGCCGGAGTCATGACATCCTGGCTGTCATCTTGGTTGATGTCGCTGCCGTCATCCGACAACGCGTCCGACATGCTTTCACTTTATAAGGTACGCTAATTAAATACTGCTGTTTTAGAAACGATATTGTTTTGGCTTCAAATAACAAAATGGGAAACTTAAATAAAAGTAATAAAACGAGTTTAGCTACACAGTCGTCCCTGAAGCTTCTGCGGTGCAAAATGCTCTTGTTTATTCGCGCCACTGGCGTTCTCGCGAGAGTTGTATTTTGTTCAAAAACCCCGAATTTTGACTGTAAGGCCAAGTCTTTCCCGCAGCCACAAAGATCAATAAAATACAAAAAAATGTAAATAGAAAAAGGCAGTATTTTTGAGATAAGAGAATGTTTTCTTATTTACTCTAAAGTGATTACTCACGTAATATTAGTCAGGTCATTCTGACCTATCCGAAATGCATAACGAAGGGTAAAAAAATAACAACGCAGGGTTCTCTGGATTTCCTGCAAATAAAATAAAATGTTTTTGAACAAGCTTTTATTATAATAAGGAATTATAATAATATAACAACATTAATAATAGTAACATCAACAACAGTTAATAATAATAATAATAATAATAATAATAATAATAATAATAATAATAATAATAATGTTATTTGTATGGTAATTGTGTTTCATTTTTGATGTTGACTAAATAACATGAAAATAAATATTAAGTGGTCATTCATTACCATAATGAATTAAAATATTTGTTATTTTAATAACATGAAATTGGTAAAAAGCCATTTAAAAAATATGTACCGAGGTTTGCATGTTTTATAAAGCAGTATGTCAGATTTCCCATTCATTTGACACTGTCCAATGTTTATATACAACATTTAGTCTAAAGACATATCTACTTGAATATTGTTTACTATCTGTAGTACCTCATATTCATAGAATGAATATTCAAAATTCTGTCCTCCTCCTACCAGGGCTCAAATATCTCAAAACTATGATTACTGAACTTCCACTAGGTCACCCACGGTCTCTCTCACACACACATGCACACACACACATACATTTTTCAACATACCATCTCTTAGTCAGTCTTGCCCTGCATTTGAAATAAGTTCCATCATCTGCTTGACTTGTTGCATCTGTTTCCAGATAACAGTGGCCTGAGGGCTAATCTCATTTGTATGATTTCCTCTTTCTATTTCCTCCTTATTGCTCTCAGAGCATTTGTTCTACTGATGATTTTGCATTTGCCATGCAAACCTGTTGTTATAGTAGGCCTACTGACAATGAGCACCACTGACCACAGCTGGCACCCATAACTCTGTTCTAAATGAAACCTGCAGGGTCAAAACTGTGCAGATGGAGGATTGTTTTACACTGAAAAGTTTTTATTGCACAGATTTTTGATTGCATTTGTCGTTTTTATTTAAATACATTAAAAACAATAACATTTGCAATAACTGTTTCTAGAAACTGTAACACTGGTATTAGATACATAAAGCATTTGTCACTGCATACATTTTTACACATTTTACCATACAGTACTCAATGGGGGGTAAAAAACAGAATAAAGACAAGTGCAATGGAAGATGAGTGATGTATAACTGATGTTTTGACAAAATGGGATAATGTGAAATAACACCACAGTATGAATATACATCCATCCATCTAAATGTTTGCAATAGTGTAACTGCAAGAGAAATTATGCATAGTTGTTTTTTAAATAATGCACCAACAACAATCCTCTTTAACCATCACTACACCACCTTTATTTATTTTTGAATATTCTCATCATATAGTGAGCAGTGCTTATTTAGGTTTCAGGGCTGCCGTTCAGAAACTCAAAGCTTGTGAGGGTAGATGGGATTCGTTGCAGGTAGGGTGTATCCATATTGAGAATTTAAGAATGGAATGGGGTAGGGATATGGGTAGACCGCTGGTCCGATGAGACCCGGACTTACTGGGACATGTTGGTACATCAGCTGAGATGGAGGAAGTCTCATCCTGTGGTGCAGAAATGCCTGGTGCCCTGGGTGCTGATGCCGAAAGTCTCTCCCTGATTTGTTGTAGCCTGACAGGACGCAGGATGCCGGCAGGGTGCTGGCAGCAGTGGCGGACTGAGACAGACTCTGCTGGGTTGGAGGAAGCTTCTGGGGTATTGTCCTGGATCTCTCCCTCTTCTCTGCATGATAAAGCCAGGGGGCCATGCTGCCCAGCTTCTTTACACCTGTCAGTGTGCCGTCCTGCTGAAGCAGCCTGCTGTGAGGAGTTTTAGAGCTTGGCCGAATGGGAGCAGGTCGTAGGAGCTGCACGGATTTGGGAATGACTTTAGAGAAACTAGAGGTAGATGTTAAGAAGGAGGAGGAAGGGTGAAAAGGATGTGTGAAGTGTTTGCCAGTCATGTTGTGATAAGGCCTCCAGGCGGAGTCTTTAGTCTGGCTTTTGACTGGGCCAGTGATCAGAGACTGGGAGCTGACTTGTGAAACGTCTCTTTTTGGCTCTTTCGGGCGCGGTGGCGTCTGACTGCAGCTCGCGGACTTCTTATCCTTGTTTGCTTTGGTGGTGCTGGAAGAGTTCTCAGTCGACCCAGTGCTTGTTGTTGATTTATCCACATTCACAACTGAGCTGTCCTCTGAAGAAACAGAAACAGGCGAAGAACAGCGTGAGGATGAAGAGGACGAAGGCAGTGGAGAACCATCAGAGGAATTTCCATTCCTGCTGGGAGACACTTGAGCCGGAGACTGGGAGCACTGGATGACGGAAGGCCTTTCCTTGTCCTCTCTCTGAGAAGCTGGCGGCACATTGAGGCTGGCCTGAGCCATCCTCTTCTTCTTCTCTAAAGGAGAGATGACCTCTGCAGTTGAAGAGGGAATGTGCGCCACCCAGGAGCTGGGTGCCGGGACCTGAAGCACGTGGCCGTTGACAGGAGAGCAGAAATCACTGTTGGTTCTGTTTTGTGGAGAGTGGTCTGAGTGGCGTGGGTCAGGGTTGGCAGCCCAGAGAGCAAAGCGGGGGTGCATCATTGCCTCACTCTGGCAGGCCATGTCCGCACTTCTCTGGGTGAGTAACTGCAGGAAGGAACACTTCTGTCATTTGAATTCTTGAAATGTTTTTTTTAACATCTAATCTTCAACTTGCATCAGATGTTTAATTTTGTTACCTCGGTTTCCATTTCTCTCTCTGAATAAGTCTTCTTTCTTTTCCCATCTGCTTTGTTCACCTTCCCCTCCAGGTTTCTCTTGTACGGCTTCCGAGGTTTGCTCTGAGGCAGAGGTTTGTCGTCCTCGCCTTTTAAGTGTCTCTCAAAAGGAAGCACCAGCCTGTCCAAAAGTCAGCAGAATTTTGGCTTAAATCCATCTTTTAGCATCCAGTTAAACCTTTTGTTTCCAGATTGGATCAGCCTCACCTCTCGTAGTGTCTTCGGGTGCAGGTGGCAGCACTGGTGCTGCCTGGGCTTCCTCCCAGCTCATCGTACACTTTCTTCCAAAGACGATGCGTTGTCACCTGTTGGTCAGCACAACAACAAAACAAAATTAATTTAATAATCTTAGGTGTGTTCTTGCTGTGTCTTTGTAAATCCATGCTTTCGTTCTTTTTTAAACACAGAAACAGTTTTGTTTACCTGTTTGTAGCTACGGTTTCGCCGACAGCTGCCGGCTTCTTCAGGCTGACGCTGATGGTGGCGGAGAAGGAAGTGACGCGCCACCATCAGCGTCAGCCTGAAGAAGCCGGCAGCTGTCGGCGAAACCGTAGCTACAAACAGGTAAACAAAACTGTTTCTGTGTTTAAAAAAGAACGAAAGCATTAATTTAATAATAATTAATAAATACTATGTTACATAGTTAAGACATGACAGATCTTTATGTAATGCTACTTCTTAAAATGTCTAACTGACCTTTAGGTCAAAAACAGGAAATTCATGATGCTACACATCTAACCTGGTGTAGATAAGTTGGAGACAGAGTTTATGTCCAACAGGACCGATAAGCTAACGGCTAGCTGGAGTGCAGCCAAGACCAAATGCCTTATCATACCCGACTATCCACCTGAACCAGTTTAGTTGGATGTAAGCAAGTGAAGATCAAGATGTGATTCAGAAAAATGTACACCAAACCGATTCATTAAAGCAGAAATCAGAGATTTCATCTTTCTGTTAAGATGTTTGCTCAGTGGGGCAAAAAAGTATTTAGTCAGAATCCAATTGTGCAAGTTCTCCCACTTAAAAAGATGAGAGGCCAGTAATTCTCATTATAGGTATACCTCAACTATGAGACAAAATGAAATCCACAAATTCACATTGCCTGATTTTTAGCCCTTTGATGCATAATGGTCACTACAGTGGACAGGTACTCAAAATTGTTATTTATTTTTTGCTATTAAGCACAGCTGTTGAAGACTTTATTGCATTTGAGCCCCTCCATTTGGACTTCAGTAAGTCAAGCCAACATATTTCATGCTCAGAATGCACGCTGTCCACTGAGGTGGACATGTAATAAATTATTTGTAAATTATTAAATGTCATAAAAAATACTTGTTGAAATTTGTTTCATTCACACCTAAAGATGAATGAAAAAAATTGTTTAAAAAATCATGGTTGAAGATTTCATAATTCATGCATCAAATGGTTAAAGAATTTATTTAGCAAATTATGGTGGAAAATAAGTATTTGGTCTCCTACAAACAAGCACTATTTCTGGCTTTCACAGACCTGTAACTTCTGTAAGAAACTCCTCTGTCCTCCATTTGTTAAAGAGCAAGTCACCCCCAAATAAACTTTTTTTTGCTGATAAACTAAATAAACGAGTGTCTAATCGTGCTGCAGACACGTGTCGTCAATAATTTGGCACTTCAGTGCATCTTAGTTAAAATTTAAATATTCTGCCTAAAACTGGCAGTGTTGTGCCGTTGTCAGGTAAAAACTCTGCACTGTATTTTAATTTAAATCTGCCACCGCTATTGGCTAAGAAGTATGCTATGATGTAAACTGGTACATTATGATGTCACAATGCTGTCGTGAGCCTGAGTGTGTGTGTATTTGTTAGCGGCTCCGCCCTCTCGGTCTGCCAGGCAACAGCATGTGTTGCATTTTTCAAACATGAAGTGGGAGTGGAGTTAAGCCGGGCGTACACTGTGTGACTTTTTCACTCGCAGCGTTCATCTTCAGCTCAAACTGTACGACTTCCTCGCAGAGCAGATCTCACGAGTCATGTGCTCACACTGTACGACCCAGTTCTCGCATGCGACCTGACTGCTCACACTGTACGTCTGGTAGCAACACGTCGGCCCTAAAAATGTGCTAAAAATAGCAGTTTTTACTCAACACGTCAGACTTTTTTGTCTTGTCTTGCCTGTTGTCCTTCGGGAGTGCTGCAGGAGGACACACAGGGATTTATGGGGGTTGGATGAGGAAAACGAAATAAAGAAAGTAAATCTGTGTTTTGCGATCAGTTTAATTTGACATGAACACGACAAACACGCTTTCTTGACAATCTTTGTGAGTAAAAAAAATGTGTAGAAACAAAAACGAACAGCGTGTGTTATTAGGGAAATAGCGAGCGACCGGCGTTGATGCAGGATTGCGCATGCGCCGTGAGCGGTTCTGATACTTTTTGGGTCGCAGCTGCTCGCAGCGCCGCTTCAACAGTGTGATACCCTCACGAGGGACGAGCGAAATATTAAACACGCCAGAAGTCCCTGCGACTGCTGATCGGCGGCTGGTCACGTGGTGCTAATCGCCTCTCGTAACCCCCTGAACAGTACACGACCGCTCGGCGCAAAACTCGCCCCGATGTCGTGGCTTCTCGCACGACTGGAAAATCGGCTCAAAAAAGAGAAAAAGTCGCACAGTGTACGCCCGGCTTTAGACTCTGGTAGGGGTTGACTTGCTCTTTAACTGTATTAATGGCACCTCAGTAAAAAAAAGACACCTGTCCACTAGGGGTTGTGTCAACTAGACGACTTCACCGCTCTTTAGTGACTTTTTATGCCTGTCATCGACTAGTCACTGTCACGTGATAATGACCGACAAGATGCAGTCCTTGGAAAAGACAGCAGGTGACGAGCCCCTGCACGTTGGGAGGCGACGCGCTGTGCAAGAGCGTCGGTACTGACACCCGCGGTAAAACCGACATTTGACCGAATTGTGACCTTTACCCTCTTGCAATTTAACCTTCCCCTCACCCCCATCCTAATCTTAACCAGCTTCCACATGCAAGGCTCTGATCGTTGATGCGCTCCAGACATCTGCGTCCTGAGCACGGCCACAGTAACATTATCAAATCAGGTGTCGCCACCTCAAAAACAAATTTAACACGTGATCGTTTATGTCAGCTCATTTCCTTCTATGTTTTCTGTCTTTTATTTGTGCCTGATGCGTGGAGCGGAGCGCATCACCTGTTTTTTCCTCCGGTGACGCACCTCACAGGTGCAGCCGGCGCGCAGCGAGCACTCCGCTGTTTTTGGGGTCGGGAGATCTTTTAGAACTGCAGTTCAAAGGTAACTCATGAGGTGAATATATATGAACCCAGGTAGCAGTTTTTCTTTAGGATTGAGAGGAGATGCAGGAAGATAATAAACAGAGACAGGATAGAAAAATAGTTAAATAAAAACAAGTTAGTTTTTGTACCTGGTGGTTGCAACAAACAGACACCAATGAAGGTAATCAGAAGTGAGGAACAGAAAATGAAATTATTATTTGAATGTTTAGAGCAGCAGGAACTCTGAGAGGCTGCAGGCGCATCAGTGAGTTTGCGGCCGCTGCACAGGGGGAGGGGGGAGAGGGCTGAAGCAGAAACTACCGTTGTTAAAAGAGATGTGGGCCCAATTTTAATTGTCAAAAACTCCTGCTACCCCTGCTTAGGCCACTACAGGTGCAGGCCCGAATGAAGTTTGCTAGAGAGCATCTGGTTGATCCAGAAAGAGACTGGGAGAATATCATATGGACAGATGAAACCAAAATTGAACATTTTGGTAAAAAATCTACTTGTCGTGTTTGGATAAAGAATACTAAGGTGTATCCAAATAACACCATACTTACTGTAAAGCATGGGGGCGGATACATCATGTTTTGGGGCTGTTTTGCTGCAGAGGGACCAGGACGACTGATCTGTGTAAATGAAAGAATGAATGGGGCCGTGTGTCGTCAGATTTTGAGTGAAAACCTCCTTCCATCAGCAAGGGCATTGAAGATGAAATGTGGCTGGGTCTTTCAGCATGACAGTGATCCCAAACACACCGGCCGGGTAATGAAGGAGTGGTTTCATAAGAAGCATTTCAAGGTCCTGGAGTGGCCTAGCCAGTCTAAAGACCTCAACCTCAAAGAAAATCTTTGGAGGGAGTTGAAAGTTTGCGTTGCGCAGCAGCAGCCCCAAAACATCACTGCTCTAGAAGAGATGTGCATGGAGGAATGGGCCAAAACACCAGCAACATGGGTGTGAAAACCTTGTGAAGACATACAGAAAACATTTGACCTCTGTCATTGCCAACAAAGCGTATATAACCAAGTATTGAGGTGAACTTTCGTTATTGATCAAATACTTATTTTCCACCATAATTTGCAAATAATTTTTTTTAAATGTGATTTTCTTTCCTAATTTTGTCTCTCATAGTTTAGGTTTAGCTATGGTGAAAATTACAGGCCTCTCTCATCTTTCTAAGTGGGGTAACTTGGCTGACTAGATACTTTAGTTGCCCCAATGTATAATTTTAATTGTAGAGGTGCATGAATAAGAGACGCTGCTTACAGCTGTGCGACGGAAGCAGGGGGAATGGTTTATAGGTGTAATCCATTTTTTCGTTTGCGTGGTGCCATCTGAGGAAAAAGCTGCTTTAAGTGGAATTTTCTCCAAAACCATCACACAAAGTAATTTGTGACTAGAAGAGTCGCCCCCTGCTGGCCTCTAGAGCCTTTTAGTAAGCTGTGCACTAAAAAATAAATTAATGATTACTTCTCAGATCAGTCTGGATATCAATCAAATTTCCTATCAAAGTAAGTCATTTTTGTGTATCATGCGGTCGAGCGTCGGCGTATCTGCTCTCAGATCAAATGTATTACAGGAAGTTGACAGCTGGTCACCCAAGTTTTCTTTACGGAAACAACACTTTCATTTTCAAGCTGTGCGAACACGTGGGTGGCCCCTGTAGCTGTGTTTACACCCTGGGACATGATGTTGGTGGTCAGCTCTAGTCTCAATATGTCTTCGTCATTGTCGTCGTCTTCCTCCGCTTATCCGGGTCCGGGTCCGGGTCCGGGTCGCGGGGGCAGCATCCCAACTAGTCTCAATATGGTTCCATGTAAAGATGAGTTTCACCCACAGAGCATACGTAGGTGACTTCAAAGGCAACAGAGTGCGATACTCTGAGAACTCAGCAGCTTTTAGGCCCCCTCAGAGGTAGAAACCGCCATGTTAGCATTACATGACCTACTGATCATTCACTAATAGAGACTAGTGAACATTAAGGTCTTAAAATCTAAAAACAATAAAAGTTATAATACTTACTGATTCATATCCTCCATGTTTGTCAACAGCTTTGTAGATCATCCACAGATCAACTGCAGTTAATAAAGAGAACGTGTTTAAATCCAAACTCTTTTATTGTTTTGTTCAAAGAGCAGATGATGCTAACTCACTCTGTTTGAAACCCAGATGAGGGATCCTCTCTATGGGTGTGCCTTTTTCCTTCATGAAGGAGTGCAAACGAAACACAAACGTCTTCTCATCCATCTGCACCAGACTGGGCCTCGCTTCTTCTTCACATTCAGTCGTTGAGTTGTGAATTTCAGTGACAGAAGGGGAAGTCTGGTGTTTGGGAGGGGAAAAAGAAACAGATGCTTTAGAGAAAAAAGTACACCAGAACAATTAATCTCTCTTCAAATACCTCACAGCCCACCTCACAGTATAGAAACCTGGTTTACAGTTGAGCGTATGATATTATAGATGGGAAAGAAGAGTCACAGTCATCTCAAAACACAGAAAAGCTGAAATGAAACATGAAAATCAGAGAATAGGGTTTTACCGCTAGTTTCAATAGATAACCGCTACACATCCTGTCTGGAGAGAAAGCTGCAGACTTGTGGGGTTTTTGGTCTAGAGCTGTCAGTCAACGGTGACATGAATGTCACTTCAAAAAACAAGCTTAGGACAAAAGAGTTACTGCAATCTGTTAAATGCACAGTGTAGCACTGACAGATGCCACGGTTTGCAGTTTTCTCTATGAAAGTTTAAAAATGGCTTATAAGGATGTAAAACTGTTGCTGCTTGTGGTTTGAAAGAACAATTTAAAGATCAAAAAGACAAATGCTAAATAATGAGCATTCTCAAGTTTATACAGAAACAGACTTGATTATATTGCAGTAAATATATAGTTCAGTATTACAAAAGCCTACAGTAACAATCGTCTGCTTCCTGTTCTAGAGAAGGAGTAACATTTGCTAACGGGGTGATTACAACATATCAAATTAAAAAAAAAAACATAATTAAACCATGTTTTTGTTTAAAGTAACAGCTATTTGTTTCTGACCGTGTCCTCTCCTTATCTAATATGCAGCTTTGCATATTTCTACCAAAAAATTCATAAGTAATCATGACCGATTTGCATCAAATATTTCATGAAGTAACGTAAAAATGAACATTAAATGTTGGTAAATGGGTTGAGACCTTGTGATTAGCTGGAAACACTTACACAGAGGATCAACATTGTTGTTGGGAATGCACACACACGTTTACATTGCTATACTTGTGGGGACCTGTCATTGACAATCCATTTTTGGGACTCCACTATGCCTAACTCTAACCATACGATAACCAATACTGGACAATTCCTAACCTTAACTAAAAGTTAAAACACAACACACCTTCAAAACCAAGTACTTGGGTTTCTATCAATGTGAGGACCAGCCAACCACACCGGTGCGCGAAGGTGCGTGTTCCAACCGGTTCCAACCCACAGGAGAGGAGGGAGAGAGGAGGTAGACAGGAAGTGGACCACAGGGACTGAACTGGTGTTTTTGAGCTAAACTGCGGTAAAAATGGCTGTTCGTCCTCATTGTCAAAAGTGTACCCCCCCCCCCCCCCACACACACACACACACACACACACGGCACTCATGCAGTATTTTAAATGTATTAAGCCTACAATTTATTTTTACTCAGTAAGGGATATGATTTAAAATGTAGCAAATTACTTTTTTTTTAAAGTAAAAGTACAGATTTTAAAAACGACTTAAAAAGTATAAGTACACATAAAAGCTTCTCAATTACAGTAATGTGAGTAAATGAAATTCGTTACTTTCCACCTCTGAGTACAAAGTACAAACACACACAGACACATGTTTGCTTTGCTACACTTGAGGGGCCCTCTTATTGATGAGCTGTTTTAGGGACTGCATTATGCCTAAAGCCTAATTTAAAGTTCTCCATCAGCTCCACGAGGGAGAGACATGCACGCACGGACGGACGGACGGACGAAGACAATTTGCTCTCATTCTTCTCCGTCTCCTGGGGAGTGTTGCAAAGCAATTCCCCGCCAGGACAACGGGGCGTAGCGCTGTTCTGTGGTATCCTGTCATGTATCTGGTCCAAGAAACTGTGTTTATATTGTGTTTTTTTTGTATTTAAGAGATGTTTTGACACGGACTAATTTGTCATTTATCCTCCTCCACCTCTTCATGTGCTCGCCACCTCTAAACCCACGTTTCCCGTCATTACCGTCCACAAATAAAATGCTTGCTGCGTATCTTTTCACTCCTCCAGTCACGGGGGAATAAAACGTTCATGTTTTTAGAGTTTTTCCGTGAGGTATTCTTCAAGCTTCTCCACATCTGCCGCTAAATATCCTCGGCTCTCTATGTTTTTGAGGACGCAATGGCGGCACTGTAGACGACAGCGGTGTCCTGACCAATCACAAACTTGCGTTCTCCATCTCGACAGACTGATGTTTACAAAATAGAGCTCGATAATGGCCGGATAATGGCGTTGAGTGCGTCCATCCCTATGCAGATGGAGAAGTATAAATTAGGCTTAACCCTAACCGTACCATAACAATACTGGACTATTCCTAATCTTAACTAAAAGTTAAAACACAACACACATTTAAAACCGAGTATTAGGGTTTCTATGAATGTGGGGACCAAACAAATGTCCTCCCAATTTCAAAATGTCCTCATGTTACAAGTTTGATGAGAAAAGATTTCCTCAAAATGTACAAACACACAAACACTCACACAAAGGTGCAGTAATCACATCAGCTACTGGAGTGAAAATGAAGATTTCAAATTCAGATTTGAACTCTCACCCTGCAGCTGCTCTAAACTATGTCAGCAGGCTGGATGGGAGCAAGGGACCGCGGTGGATGCCGCTGTTTTATTTTGGATCATCACATCGAGAAGCTGCTATTTCTGTGGCCCTCATTGAACAACAAAACAGCGCAAGGCGCTTTCATATTGAATCGAGTTCCTCTATGTGGTTCCTGGTTCCGAGAAGCAAACCTCTAGAGTGAGTAATAGTGAAGGTGCACGGCGCTCATCAAGATAGCCCAGACTGAGTCACAGCTCAGGGGCCAAAACTGGCATTCCCAGCTAAGTGAGACAAAATGCATGACTTTCCGTACTGTGTAGACTAGCTTTGCCCAACCATGTCGTTTATCTGCAGAAATTAGCTCATAAATGTAGAAAAATGATACAAAATGGTGCATTTTAAAAATCACAGAAGGATATCAAACACGTCATAAAAAAGATTAAAATCTTGCATGAAATTAATCTGCATTCACAAACGCTGGCCTGTTTACTTTCAGTCACTGTGTTTTCACTCTGATTCACAAAAGTTTCAGGTTCACACATCGGTAGTTAGCTACAGGAAACGTCTGCGCTGAATGTGCCAAGCACACTGTACCCCCCCCCCCCCCCCCTGCAAATCTCACTCCACACCACTCACAGAATATCATTGTGAAACTTTTGGTTTACTTAAAACACATGAATTATTTTTTTTTTTTTGGAAAACTGTGTGGGTGATGATGTCAGCGTGTTGATATGCGATTCTCGCAATGACTGTCAGTGGTGTTCAAGAGTGATGCTATGTGGAGGGCAGGAGTCACCACAGAAACCTTTCAACTTACACCGGCCTTGGAAATTTGATGAGCTATTTTGTTGCTTCTCATATTGTAACGTCAGTTACCAGAACACCAGATGTGAGTTTCTTTTTGTGCAAACATATTACAGCGCATCACATCTGTGCACATGCTTTTTTAAATGATTCCTCCTAGAATACAAAGCAGAAGCACGCTGGTTGTTACTCATTTCACAATAAGGCCTGCATGCACACCATCAGCACTTCAAACGGGTGTCTTAAATAGCACGAAAAGGGGAAATGAGAAGCACAGAAGATAAGTCATCCTGAGAAGTCATATCTGGAGACGCAGATTAACTGTAAGTGATGGAAACCGCCTGGCGGGAGACCAACCTGATCTTCCCACACCTGCTCCTCTTCATCACTAGCCGATGTTTGTTGGGACGTTTCCCTCTGGTTCTCTGGAGCTTCTCACACACAAACACACACACGGAATACACAAGAAGAAGTAACTTCAGTGGGCGAATTTGAATTCAAAGAACCACAAAGAAGAAGTTGTGGCACTTCTTCATTTCAGGAAACAATTCTATTTATAAACAAAAAAACATTAACATCTTTTGTGCAGCTTAGGTGAGAATCAGGTGATTATTTAGCGCGCGCCCACACACACACACACACACACACACACACACACACACACACACACACACACACACACACACACACACACACACACACACACACACACACACACAAAGTAATCTGTAGAGCATATTGTTTGACTGAGTGGGATATAAAACCACACGTTGCAAAACCACTTCCTGCTCCAGAACACAACCGCTTGTTTACTGAACTGTCTGGTATTGTAGCACTACTGTAAGAGAAGTGAAGCACATGTGAACGGGATTTTAGCACATTCCGCTCGGCTTGCTTTCCAACCTTTCCTCACAAAGGTCAATATTGAGAATAATTTGCATTTTAGGGGAAACTAGACCACAGATGTTGAAAGTCACCAGCCAGGCTGTGAGTTGTGATTCTCAGAATGAGACGGCTTTCTTCAACCAACTGTTGTCTCAGAATGTCTAAGCCCTCCACCCACAGTTATATCAGAGTTTTGTTGTTAGTGTGTGTTTGTGTGCGTGTGTTTGTGTGCGTGTGTGTGTTTGTGTGTGTGTGTGCGTGCGTGCGTGTGCGCACACAAAACCAATATGCTTCTCTTTTGAGATCACATATTTCCTGCGGCTTAAACCTTTAATTCTGCTTTCAGTAGCCTCCAACTTCTCCATTATGAATCCGATGAAGAAATATTTTTAATACTAATTTTACGCAACAGGTAATGACGAGAACTGGGTTTAAACTCGGTGTGTTTACCTGATTCATGATTATTTATCAGTCTTTATACTTTGTTTTTTTCCTTTTCAAATAAAAACATTTCAATATAAAATTACAGCTTAAAGTTTTTTTCCTGTCTGTCTTTCACTAAAACTGAGGAGTGTAAAACACACACACACACACGCACGCACGCACGCACGCACGCACACACACACACACACACACACACACACACACACAGAATTTAACATAAAATCGGATAAAGAAGTTAAACAAATATGAAAATAAATCTCACCCATTTCCAGAAGTTGTCTTCTAGTTTTAGCTTCACTGCGTTCTGTGACAACAATTCATGCAACAGCCTCTTCAAATTGACACCACGGAATAGGAAGATGTCTCCGCAGGACGGTTTCATTGGTTGACTGATGGCATGACAGCAAACGAGGCAGGAAAACACTCCCCCCCCCCCCCCCCCCTTGCTCTCTCATCTCACAGTTTCTGTTTTCTCCGTTTCATCTTCTCATATTCTAGCAGAAAGCAGCAGGTGTGCTAAATTCTTGGGTAAAATACTTCACTCCGGATAAATTTGGTACTTTTGGGGAGATTTGAGCTGATATTACAGATTTTGAAGATACATTCAGGTACAATTGGGGAAAAAAAATCATTTCATTTATTTCACTCAGTAATTTTAACACAGCAGTTATTTAAATAAACACGTAAAAGTGGAATATAATAAGTATTAACACTAATTATCAAAGATAAATGAGATTCAGCATGTTTCTCAAAGGAATTAAACATAAAAGATGACACAAGGTCTGTTCTGAAATTCAGCAAAATTACTGATTTTGGGGAAGTGAAAGCAACACTCAATCTATGTCCAAATAAAGGTTTAAAGACTCAAATGTCAGTATAGCATGTCCTGGATCTCCACTAAACTACTTTTCAACGTGTTTTTATAAATAAGGGAAGAAAAACCAAACCAGTTTCTGTCACTGAACACCAGTATGTGAAGTTTAGATGCATGGAAGAGGACATTAGATCCATGGTAATAAAATAAGCATGAATGTGTTGAGTGGATCTTGCACAACCAAGTTAAAGTGCAGCAGACTTGAAGGATTCATATTCTAGCTGCAAAATAGTTGAGATTTCTGTCAAGCTGAAAACCTCCAAATTTTAGGGAAGAGGGAATGGACCACTTCTGTAAAACGCAGCTTGGAGATATTGGTTAAAAATGAAATGTCAGAACACGCAGAAGCAGCCATTTGCAGTTCAGATGAGCGGGTTACTGACGGTCGTCTGGGAGTCGTCTCCAGAGTTTGAGCAGAGTTTTTCAAAAAAGTGTTTTAGTATTTTTTCAGCATTATTTGACTTTTTTTTCACACCAAGTAAAGTTGGCCTCTGACACGATCCACATTTCTTCTGCTTGTTTTTGATTGGTCTCAAAAGAAGGGGATGCCCTGTTCCTCCATCTGCTGCGGATAGAGAATGACATTTAAACAACGATTAACATCTAAATGTCAAAATCACCAAATATCTACTAACTGTCCTGATCTTAGAAGGGAGTTTTTGTTGTTGTTGAAGAACCTGTTCGAGATCAGGGCAACAGTTTTAAATAAGCAGGAATTTACTCAGAATAAAACTTGAAAATTAAAACATTAAACTTGTAATAAACATTAAAACACTAGAATGATGAATCTGTAATTTCTGAATCTGTATCTTGATTTCTTGTAATTGTGTCAAAATGTTCATCAGAAATCTCGTGAGAAATTTTCTTTCTTCTGTAGCCAATATGGAGAAGATGAGTAAAAACAGGCTTTAAAGCTGAGAAAATCCCCAGCTACTCATCTTAGACTTTCACTGACACAAATGGCCGAGGTCGGCCTGAAAACGACGCTGTCTGAATGAGAATATCCAAATTCCAACATAGAAAAGGTTTCCTATCTGAGGTGAGTCACTTTCCTGGGAACGGCCTCCTGCAAATAAGAAACTGAGTAAAATTGCTGCTGTGGTCGACGGTCTGACAACACGACGTCCTTCTGAGTATTTTATAGTCACCAATAAAGCTGAAGATCTGCGGGAGTTTATATTCTCATCTTCACAGATCATTTAATGTTTGAGAGACTTTATCTAAAGTTAATATTTATATTAGAAAAGATCCCATTACCTAGAACTATGGAAACTATCAAAAAAAAAAACCTCTTTGAAACAAAAATAACTCAGATTTTACATGATTTAACAAATAAATCACACAAATATTGACATTTTGTGAATTTTTGTTAACATTTTTTATGCAAAAATCAATTTGTTATGCACGCTTGCCACGTCTCTCTTGGTACAAAAGGGTAAATCTATCCATCCATCCATCCATCCATTTTCATCTGCTTATCCGGAGTCGGGTCGCGGGGGCAGTAGCCTAAGGCAGGAGGCCCAGACTTCCCTCTCCCCAGCCACTTGGGCCAGCTCCTCTGGGGGAATTCCAAGGCATTCCCTGGCCAGGTGAGAGACATAGTCCCTCCACCGTGTCCTGGGTCTACCTTTAGGTCTCCTCCCGGAGACATTGGACGTGCCCGGAAAACATCACCAGAGAGGCGTCCAGGAGGCCACCTAACCAGATGCCCGAGCCACCTCAACTGGCTCCTCTCAATGTGGAGGAGCAGCGGCTCTAGTCGAAGCCCCTCCCGAATGACCAAGCTTCTCACCCTATCTCTAAGGGATAGCCCAGCCACTCTTCGGAGAAAACTCATTTCGGCTGCTTGTATCCGCGATCCCGTTCTTTCGGTCACTACCCAAAGCTCATGACCATAGCTGCTTCACACTCGGCTGCGAACCGCTCCAGCGAAAGCTGAAGATGATGTTCTGATGAAGCCAACAGGACCACATCATCTGCAAAAAGCAGAGACCTGATCCTCAGACCACCAAAACAGATGCCCTCGACACCTTGGCTGCACCTAGAAATCCTGTCCATAAAGGTTATGAACAGAATCGGTGACAAAGGGCATTCTTGGCGGAGTCCAACTCTCATTGGGAACGAGACCGACTTACTGCCGGCAATGCGGACCAAGCTCTGACACCGGTCATACAGGGACCTAACAGCCCGTATCAGAGGGCCTGGTACCCCATACTCCCAGAGTACCCCCCACAGGGCCCCCGAGGGAAGCAGTCAAACACCTTCTCCAAATCCACAAAACACATGTAGACTGGTTGGGCAAATTCCAACGCACCCTCCAGGATGCCCCCAAGGGTATAGAGCTGGTCCAGTGTTCCACAGTCTGGACGAAAACCACATTGCTCTTCCTGAATCTGAGGTTCAACAATCCGATGGACCCTCCTCTCCAGAACCCCTGATTAGACCTTACCAGGAAGGCTCAGGAGTGTGATCCACCTGTAGTTGGAACACACCCTGCGGTCCACCTTTTTAAATAAGGGAACCACCACCCCGGTCTGCCAGTCCAGTGGGACTGCCCCCGGTGTCCACGCGATATTGCAGAGCCGCGTCAGCCAACACAGCCCCACAACATCCAGAGCCTTAAGGAACTCCGGGCGGATCTCATCCACCCCTGGAGCCTTGCCACAGAGGAGCTTTTTAACCACCTCAGTGACCTCAGCACCAGAGATTTGAGAGGCCAACCCAAAGTCCCCAGACTCTGCTTCCTCATTGGAAGACGTGTCGGTGGGAATGAGGTCTTTGAAGTATTCTGCCCACCGATCCACGTCCTGAGTAGAGGTCAGCAGCACACCGTCTCCACTATAAAGTGTTGGTAGCGCACTGCTTCCCCCCACCCCGAGGCGCTGGATGGTGGACCAGAATCTCCTCAAAGCCGTACGGAAGTCTTGCTCCAAGGTCACACCGAACTCCTCCCATGCCCGGGTTTTTGCCTTGGCGACCACCCGAGCCGCATTCTGCTTGGACTGCCGGTACCCGTCAGCTGCCTCTGGTGTCCCACAGGCCAGAAAGACCCGATAGGACTCTTTCAGCTTGACAGTATCCCTAACTGCCGGTGTCCACCAGTGGGTTCAGGGTTGCCACCACGACAGGCACCAACAATCCTGCGACCACAGCTCCGGTCGGCCGCCTCAACAATGAAGGCACAGTCCATTCAGACTCAATGTCACCCCACTTCTCCCAGAACATTTTGGAAGTTCTGTCAGAGGTGGGAATTGAAGCTCCTTCTGACAGGAGACTCTGCCAGACGTTCCCATCAGACCCTCACGACACGTTTGGGCCTGCCTGGTCTGACCGGCATCCTCCCCCACCATCTGAGCCAACTCACCACCAGGTAGTGGTCAGTTGACAGCTCCGCCCCTCTCTTCAAGACATGTGGCTGCAGGTCAGATGAAACAACAACAAAGTCGATCATCGAGCTGCGGCCTAAGGTATCCTGGTGCCAAGAGCACATATGGACACCTTTATGTCTGAACATGGTGTTCATTATGGACAATCCATGACTGGCACAGAAGTCCAATAACAAAACACCACTCGAATTCAGATCGGGGAGGCCGTTCCTCCCAACCACACCTCTCCAGGTCTCACTGTCATTGCCCACATGAGCGTTAAGTCCCCCAGCAGAACGAGGGAGTCACCAGAAGGAGCGCTCTCCAGCATCCCCTCCAAGGTCTCCAAAAAGGGTGGGTAGTCTGAACTGTAGTTTGGTGCATAAGCACAGACCACAGTCAGAACCCGTCCCCCCACACGTAGGCGGAGGGAGGTTACCCTCTCATTCACTGGGGTAAACCCCAACGTACAGGCACCAAGATGGGGGGCAACTAGTATGCCCACCCCTGCTCGGCACCCCTCAGTGGGAGCAACTCCAGAGTGGTAGAAAGTCCAACCCCTCTCAAGGAAACTGGTTCCAGAGCCATGCGTTGAGGTGAGTCCGACTATCTAGTCGGAACCTCTCAACCTCATTAAGGTTTAATCTAAATGAACAAAAAATATAAAATAATTGAAATGTGTTAAGATGAGAGGTAAAAGAATGAGATTTATGTGAAAATTAAACCTATATGCATTAAGAGGTGAATTCTCCAACTGTTGCCCCATTCCAGGAAACAAACAAACAAACAAACAAACACACACACACACACACGTCTGAGTTCCTGTCAACCTCTAAAAATCTAGTCTCTCATTTATTGATCTAGATTCAAAATAAAAAAATAATATTTTAGTTTAATGATTTCTTTTATTTAGAAGATTTTCTGCATTTGAACAAACTGGAAAAACAACAATAAACGATGGAAACTCAATGCCCTTTTTCTTTGTGCCATCTGTTGATCAAACGTTTACGTTACATGATATAAACGGTGAGTTTTCAGCTAATTAGACATCACCGGTCACCTGTGCTCTCGTCATTCTGATCTCGTATTAGATCCAGCTCGGAGGACAGGAGTATGAACGCTGATGTGTGTTCTTTAGCCCGTCCCTGAAAAGTTGTTGAAATTTTGAGGTTCAAATGAGGAAGGCCTTGATATGAAACTGCTATTTACTCACCATTTTTAAAAGGGAACTTCAAGATTGCCCTACTGAATTCAACAAGCAAGAACAAAACAAAAAATATCATCTGCTGGTTTAAATAGTCACATCAGCCGCTCGGCACATGGGACAGAAGTTCAGTCACATTCAAAAGGAACAAGGATGATTCAGTCTGCTGGTAAATAAAGGCAAACAAATGAAAACAAGGCAAAAGATTAGGCTGTAGCTGGTACCGTTTTCCTGAAATGCTACAAATAACTCAAAAATACCTGAAATAGAACTGAAGCCACTTTTGTAAGGAATGTGAACTAGAAGTGCTAGAGACGCTCACAAGAGAAATAAAGATACTGTTTTACTGCATCACACTTATGGAGGAGGAGGAGTCTGATGGTGATCAGGGAGGATCTGGAGAGTATCAGCTGCTCCTCACAAATCCCTACGCTAGATCTGCATCAGCTGCTTACAATAAACGTTTTATTAATTACTCTCTTGAAATGAGCTGGGATTTGAAAAGCTCCACGTTCGTTGGTCCATGTTGTGGAGTCTCATTGGCTCTGTTCCAGCCCGATCCTCTGGGATCGGCGCCATGATGATCCCAGTTAGATGAGCTCCACGTAATTGGCCGGGAACATTCCAAAGTGACCATCTGGGCCGAATCCTCGCCACCAGCCCTCGTCTATCATCTCGATTCCGGTGATGATTTCCTCAGGATCAAAGGAGATTTCGGTGTCGTCGGCTGAAAGACGGAGAGGAAGCAAGATCTCAGAAATATTCTAACCGACGATGGCGCAGCAGCTACACGACACCACGACAAACGCCTCTTAAATCCTCTAGATGTTGGATGGGTCCAGGATCTAAAGCGGTGGGACATTTTTCTCTCCAAACGCTCCCATTATGCCTTTTAAAGAAGTACATTTTTACTAAATATGCGTTAACTAGAAACACTAACCAGTTAGTGCGTTGCATCTTGTTATAAGAGCCCCTCCCCTTCTGCTATGATAACAGATTTAAATAGATTTATTCCTCCTCAGCACTTTTTCATATCCGCTTTTTGCACCTCGCCACTGCTTCTGCTGCAGGAGTGGTGACTAAGTCGAGGCAGCAGAACACGAGGCAACAATAAGAGGAAATGGACGAAGCACACCCACAGATAACAGCGCGCGCCGCCTTTCTGCTGTATAAAAATGATACAGATTTTAATCTAGGGAGGTGTTTGACAGCACAGATGGTTTCTACAAAACCTAAATATCAGGTGGTGGTGGGGTGGGGGGTAACTGACGGGATACAAAAACATTTGTTGATATTCATTTATTAACTCTTCAGTAGTAATAATAGGGACAAATCAAATCTGTTTCCACGAGGTTTCTAACCGCATTTACTAAGCTAAAAGTGTCATTACGAATAATTATTCTACAAATCTGAATTAAAATAGTCATTTAACTTTCACAATATTAAAGTAGTGTAGTTCTGCAGAACAGCAGGCGCTTTAGCAATCTTTAAAGGGCTATTTCCATGCTGTAGTTCTTTTTTAAAACACAGAGCAGTTTTGTTTACTTGTTTGCTACGTTTCGTTTGCGGCTGCGCTAAAAGAACTACAGCATGGAATTAGAGATACGACACAGCAAGAACACACCTAAGATGTTTAAAGGGCTGTATCATGGAAAATACGCTTTCTAGAGCTTTTTACCACATGGTATTTTTATTTCCACAAGGAAATAGAAACCCAAACCCATTTTGGCTGCATTTGTGCATTTTTCCTATTTCAGCTGCAAATTTTGAGTTTTACTTTGAAGATCCTGTAACGCGTCAATGGAAGCTAATTTAGTCTTCAGGCCTTGCTCGTCTCCTAGAAGCTAGTCTCTGGTCTGAAACCTGTCTCCTCTGTCCAGTACAGGATATGCTGCTAAGGCGACTGGTGTCATGAAGCAGACTTGGTAGTCTAGTAGTAAGTGTGCTGGGCTGCACAGGTTTGCATACCCGTCTGAGCAGTAACTTAGCCACACTTACTAGTATTATGTTTTCAACCTTTCATTGGTAAACTGTTTAAATTAGAGGCCGATCGATATGGTTTTTTTAAGGCCGATGCCGATTTTTAAAGAATGTTGTTGCAGATGGCCGATACCTAAATCTGATTATTAAGGCTGATATACATTTTAGCAGCACACTGATTGTGAAAGACAACTGAGCACTCACTGTGTGCAACATAAATTAAATAAGTCAATCAATCTCTTAATATTTATTGAACTTCAAATATAAAATGAACTCAAAACATTCAAAAAATGGTGTGTTGGCTGGGGTCCTTCAGGTCCTTTCTTCAGTCTAGTAGTGGCCAATGGCCAATATAGAAAAAGTTGAATATATCAGCTTGATATATCAGCCGGCCTCTAGTTTAAAATATAAGGACTAATCTGTTTTTTTCCTCACTTTCTTTATTTAGCCCATGTGAATCCATGGGAGGTGAGCTGAGTCAATCAACCAAAAATGCTACTTGGAAATCACCAAATTGAAAAGATCTTTAGAGACACAAATTTTTTTTGCAGAAAATGATCAATACAACTGAAATATAAAAACATGAAATCTGCTTTAGCTGGCTACAGAAATCACTGCAGACAAAGTCAAACCCACGTCAGCACATGGCAAAATGGAGATGGCAGCCAGATGCTTTTACTGGACTGCCTTAGAAAATACAGCAACCGACCCACCTAAGACACTGTTGTAGGCACGTTTTGTAGGAGTGGGCGGAGCTTCACAGAAACAAAGCGTTTTATTTCCGGGTATGCGTTCAGGCTGATGAAAATAACTCGTATTTAGGATAAATGACATCTCAGTAATGCTAACGGTATTATTTGATCAAATAATGGGCCTACTTTTGCTCTCAAAGGTTTAAAATAGTATGATATGGAATCTTTAAAAGGTCTGACTTGTTTTATTAAAGAGCGTACGTTCTCGTTTTATGTGCAAATTTAGGTTTACTGTGTTTTGTAGTCGATATTTAAGAACTACAAAAAACGGCGTGAGAGCATGGTGGACGGTGTTTGTTTACATCTGTAGTTCAATAATGTTGACAGAAACCAGAAGGTGGACTTGAGAACGCTGCCATTTTGAAAACCTGTACAGTTTCAAATGAACCTCCAAGGATTGTTTTAATTTTATTAAAGTCAGCACAGTAATTCACTAGATTTTTCCAAAACCATCATCATCATCAGGAAACACCACCACTCACCAGCCTGATAGTCGTATAACGCTCGTGCACAGATGCCTCTGTCGGATGATTCATTCACCACCGTCTCATATGAGTCGGTCTCCTCCACCTGTGGGAGAAACTGTTAACTTACGTTTCAGCTTCTCTCCCCTGACAGAGGAAAAGCAAAACTCACCTGCGGAGACTCTTCATGAGTCATCTCTTCAGCGTACGCGTTAGCAGCTGGAGCCTCTTCTAAGGGAAAGGAAATCATAACGACAGGTCACAGAGGACTGCTGGCCAGCAGGGGGCAGCAAAAGCAGATTAAATAAAACTGACGGATCAGCACGGATTGGGATAGATTAATTTACACCATTATTGGATTCAGAGGGGTTGGAGATCAACAGAACTTTAAGACAGAGAGGAAATTATCTCTGTCTGGCCCAAAACAAGTTTTTATCTGAATCTGGTGCCCTTGAGCCTGTGCGGCTGAAGAGATTACTCCCCCTCAGAAGAAATGTGGAATGCTGCAGTCGCCATGGTAACTCAGTCTCCCTATCCCAGTCTGAGTGGGACTACGACCGGTGAAGGCCGTTGAATCGTCTCCAGGGGTCACTGTGCTCTCTAACCCAAATACCTCCTTCCCCTGTCCAAACGGAGGTGACGAGCGCTGCTCATCGTGGCTGCATGCACTGATGTGAGGATAGTCCCCAACCCTACCTCCCCACCTAGTGGACACTTATGTTGTGTAATGTCGGAAGTCTGTTGCATTTCTGTCTGAGGTGTTTTTTGCATAGCAAAGCTGCCCTCCCTGTGGAGGGTAACTCTGAAGTGCCTTTTTTTCCTCCACCTGAGCCAATCCTCATGTAACCCTCTGATCTCTGTTAAGGTAGCGTGACTCGGGTTGCGAATGACCACAGTCACCAAATCTTGTCATGTGTCTATGCCTATGTATGTATGTCTGATCTCAGAATTGTGTGTACTGAAACTCTAATTTCCCTCTGGGATTAATAAAGTATCTTTGAATTTGAATTGAAAACAAAAGGCTCCTAAAATAAACCCAAACATGTTTTTCTATCACATGAAAGCAGATGGGAGGGCTGGGTGTCTTGATGCTGTCGCACTGAAGCTGATGTGTGTGAAATGACCCCCACCTTTCTGCTGCTCTTGGGGAGGGGCTTCCTGCTCATCATACTCACACTTGAAGTGCCCACCGTCCACATCAGGCTCTTATTACCCAAAAGACAAGCACAGACATGCATGTAGCACAAGTCCACACAGGCTGAGCACCACCACCAGACTCAGGCACAATGGAATTTTACTCAAAGATAAAAAAAAAATTCAAAAAGTTGATGGAAGCATGACTAATGATGAGTAGAGCAGAGACAGCACAGATGCAGGACAGGGAGCTTTTACGTGTGAGTCGGACATCTTTTACGCTCAGTAAAAACCAGACTGTGCATCACAGCAGCTGCTCATAGTTTCCTATTGACGTATAACTAATCATTATTAGCATTCGTTAGCCTTCATAGCAGCAAGAAATAAATAACTAAAAGGTAATATTAATAACAGGTATTTACGTTTTTATAACAATCTTGTTTTTTCCAAGTATGAGATCAATTGTAATTAGTACAAAATAAGTCATAAGCCACAGCTAAATCCTTCAAACTAACCCAAAATCTATTTGGTCAGATGTTTGGCTAATCCTCTAATTCTCCTTTTGGTACCACAAACTGCTATGCTACTGTGTGTGTGTGTGTCTCTCTGTGTGTGTCTGTCTGTCTCTCTCTCTCTGTGTGTGTGTGTCTCTCTGTGTGTGTCTGTCTGTGTCTCTCTGTGTGTGTGTGTGTGTGTGTCTGTGTCTCTGTCTGTCTGTGTCTCTCTGTGTGTGTGTGTGTGTGTGTGTCTGTGTCTCTGTCTGTCTGTGTCTCTCTGTGTGTGTGTGTGTGTGTGTGTCTGTGTCTCTGTCTGTCTGTGTCTCTCTCTCTGTGTGTGTGTGTGTGTGTGTGTCTGTGTCTCTGTCTGTCTGTGTCTCTCTGTGTGTGTCTGTGTCTCTGTCTGTCTGTGTCTCTCTGTGTGTGTCTGTGTCTCTGTCTGTCTGTGTCTCTCTGTGTGTGTGTCTGTGTCTCTGTCTGTCTGTGTCTCTCTCTGTGTGTGTGTGTGTGTGTGTGTGTGTGTGTGTGTGTGTGTGTGTGTGTCTGTGTCTCTGTCTGTCTGTGTCTCTCTGTGTGTGTCTGTGTCTCTGTCTGTCTGTGTCTCTCTGTGTGTGTGTCTGTGTCTCTGTCTGTCTGTGTCTCTCTGTGTGTGTGTCTGTGTCTCTCTCTGTGTGTCTCTCTGTGTCTGTCTGTCTGTCTGTCTGTCTGTCTGTGTGTGTCTGTGTGTGTGTCTGTGTGTGTGTGTGTGTGTGTGTGTGTGTGTGTGTGTGTGTGTGTGTGTGTGTGTGTGTGTGTGTGTGTGTTAAGCTCACACCTGTGGCATGGCCAGGAGAGGCAGAGCCTGCTGACACAGGAGGAGGAGAAGCTTGGCGCTGAGGTGAGCTGGCTTGCTCACATTGGTTCACTTGCTTAGACAGAAATGGGCTGTGAAGACGCCCTGAGCAGACAAACACCCGACCCCGCCAAGCATGCAGACAGATGGATGAGAGAGACGACAAAGAGCAGCCAGACTGAGCAGAGAGGAACAGACTAGACTACGACCGATTCAGTATGATTATGAGACAACTACATGGAGGGGCGGCATTAGGAGACGAGTCGCCCTGGTTTGTAGGTACGCAACCATGACGAGGGTGAGGCTTAGAAAGGTTTGCAGTTATGCAAGATCAGCTGCTGTTAGCTAAGCAATGAAGTTTACGCTTGGACCATACCTGGCTGAGGGCTCGCAGGGGCAGCAGGGGGTGTGTCCGAGTCGCTGGGTGTTATTCCTCGCTCCCTCTGCTTGAACATCTCTCTGGGGTTCACAGAACGCTGAGAGATCAGAGAGGCAGCCTCCTATAGAAGAGAAATAAACAGAGGATAGGAGATTAGGATCACTTGGACAAGGCATGAAAAATGGAAAAAGGAAATGAGGCGAGCGCCAACAAGCTTGGAGGAGATCAGAATTGAGAGAAGTGTTCATCAGAAACAAGAAACAGGAGGACAGGGTTATGCAGGAGAGGGAGGTTTGGGGAACTCACATTAGCTTTCTCCACAGATTCACCTCTCCTAACCGCTTTTCTCTGGACCTCCTGGTTCTCCTGCCCCTCATCCTGGTGATGTTGAAATGAATGTTGGCACTGCTGATGTTTGACAACCTCACTTAAGTGCTCACAAGACGTATGCACGATCAAAACGTTTTTTAGCGATCACCAGAGTGCATCTGCTCCTTCATGTCTCCATCAGCAGGAAGTCTCTTACTGCAAGTGTAATCTTAACGAAGCACTCACCCAGCGTTGTTTTTCCTGCTCTTTACTTTCAGCTTCCAGCTGTTGTTGGTACTTCCTGTAAAACACAAGAGAAGCAGCATGATTGGTCCAACGGCTGTTTTCACAGACCCATCTTTTCCCTCAGCTGCAGCTCACTTCTGTTGGTCGATCTGAGAAGCTCGCTCCTTGTCCCGTTTCTCCCTCACAGCAGCCTCCTTGCTCTCCCTGTCTTTCCTCTCCCTCTCCAGCTTCTGGCGCTCCTCGTCAGCCTTGCGTCGCTCCTCCTGCCGCCGTCTCTCCTCTTCTTTCTAAAAGCACAAAAAAGGTCAGCATCCAAGAAATTTGCACTAAAATACACGATCAGTAAGTTTAGAAGAATGTGCTAATGCACGTATGTGTATAATGGATACACCGGCGCAGAGTTAGCATACCTCCGCCTGTGCCCAGAAGTTGTCCTTGTTGGTCTTTCTGATTTCAGACATGGCGTTGGTTTTCTGGTACACCGAGCCCTGCAGGGAAGAAAGTATATTTTTAACTTCAAGAATAACAGCAAAGGGTCCAAAAGAAAAAGAACATTACACTGATGAAGTCCATCTTAACACCAGAACTACTAGGACACCGCAGTTTAGCAGCTCAGGAGTTCATAATTGGCTAAAAGGGCTGTAATTTTGGATGTTTCTCCATATTAATTGAAGCAAATTATCCCTCGTCTCATGAAAGACATCTTAGAAATGAAGTGCTTAATGTTTTATTGAACCTTATTTAAAGCTGGATTTGGGTCTTTAGGACAAAAATATAACGTATATTACATATACATCTTTTTTTTTAAAGTTGCATAGTTTAGATATTTTACGCCAGGTTGACACCGGGGGGGGGGGGGGGGGGGGGGGGGGGCATCAGCGCCGCGGAACAATTTTGTGCAGAGCATCGATCCATGTGGAGCAACGTCTCTGCCATCCTCTTCACTAGACTCGAACAATCTAAATCCCTCTAGACTTCATCCGTGACTAAAGTAAAAAGAGGGAAAACGAGATCACATCCATGAAGAAAAGCCCACCGTTGAACTTCACCAAAGATACTGGTAGTAAATAAACCATCAGGTCACTCGTAGATAGGGGTGTAATGGTTCATGGGGGAGTGTTGAACCATTTCAGATTATTTTTTCCGTTAATTTATTTTTGTTTGCGCGATTTAAGTGCAGCAGATAAAAGTTCCTAGGTGAGTTTCCGCACGAACGCTGTATTGAATGACACATGATGGCTGCACGCGCCCGATCCCCGTTTAAAAAAATGTGACCTGCAAATTCTGATCAACGCCTTTCAGAGCGGATCAAACCAGCTGGCTGTCGCTGCTACCGTGGACCCTGCAGCGACCCTGAACGGAGCGTCGCTTTGCCCCTCCCTTCCTTCTCTCACACTATGCAGGCACGCAGCCTTAAAAGTGTAAACAAACATGTCTGCTGAACTTTTGGGCCAACTGATGTAAAGTTTTAATCCTACAACAAAAAAATACGGCACGGAGGAAGCTCGTCATTTAAACACGAGAGTTAAAGAAGAAACTGGGTGGTGTGAGGTGAGTTTTTAGAGCTTTTTGCAGAAATAAAAACACAACCGTAATACACAACACTTGTCTGTATGAGCGTGACACTCATGGCTGCGAAAATAACCTGTGAAACAATTAAAGACATCATGCTAGATGAGCAGCCTGTGGTGACACCTGGTTCTGCTCACCATAGGAGCCGCCTCAGATTAAATAATTAAATATAACAATATACTGAAAATTACCCGAACCGAATACGATGTAAGAGTACTGTTACACCCCTACTCGCAGACTTTATCTACATAGATAAGACATCACATTGTTGCAATACTTTTATTTGAAAATTACCAAACATTTTACACTGATGCAGTGTGTGATTTCCTGTTTAGGCCCATAACTGTTTTGTTATAACTAATGCATCAAAGAAGCGGCAAAAATAAGACCCACTCCTATCTTCAGCAGCGCGGCAAACCACTGCATGAAGAGGTTCCCGTTGCGGCAGGTTTGCATCAACCCTTTAGACATTAAAGAGCAAGTCACCCCTAAATCACATTTTTTTGCTGATAAACTATATAAAGGAGTGTCCAATCATGCTGCAGACACACGTAGTCATTTGGCATTTGAATTTGGCAGTTCAGTGCATCTTGGTTAAAATTCAAATATTCTGCCTAAAACTGTCAGTGTTGCGCCGTCGTCAGGGGAAAATTCTGCACTGTATTTGAATTTAAATCTACCACCACTATTGGCTAAGAGGTATGCTATGATGTCATCTGGTAAAATATGATGTCATAATGCCATTGTGAGCCTGTGTGTGTGTGTATTTGTTAGCGGCTCCGCCCTCTTGGTCTGCCAAGCAACAGCATTTGTTGCATTTTTCAAACATGAAGTGGGAGTGAAGTAAGTTTCTTGTAGGGGGTGACTTGCTCTTTAATGGAATATATTTGAAGCAGCGACATTCCGCTGATGCCCTCAGTGTGGACCCGGCTTTAGTCGCTGTCATATAAAACAAACATCAGTGCATACCACCGGCCCCTGAGGACCACTGTCCTGGAAGCGGCTGGAAGCTTCTTTGTGGAAGTTGTAGTTGGCTCCTGACGCTTTAGCCACCTTTTCCATGATCACTTCAGGCTCCACATCTTCTTCTGCTCTGGCATTAACTGTCACATGAGCCCCCTGAAGCAGCAAAAAATAAGTTATTTTTCTAGTTGGATTGGTTCTTCCACGCATCCATGCCAACACCAGTATTACACGACTGTCACGGGGAAGGGCTCAGATTATCCGTCTCTAAATGTCTGATTCTCTGAGGGATCTGCTTTCTAAGTCAGAAGGTAGAAATTTAAACACAGCCATCATGTAAATCAGGAAGAGATAATCCCTAAGAGCTGTTTGAATCAGTCCATCATAAATTATAACTAGAGCAGTTCAGGCAAGCACAGACACCAGCTGCTTTATCTCTCCAAGCAAAATGATGACTTTAATCATTTAATAAAGAATAAAAAGTCCTGACTGATTTAATTGTCCTTTTAGAAAACGTGAAACATCCGACCTGCAAAGCTAGTCAGAACATTATCTAGTTTTAAACATGGCAACACCTCTAACTGGAATATTATTATTAGGACGAGTATGCCTGAATTAAAAAAACTTACTGATTTTTGTAAAAATATTAAGAAAAAAAGATTATAAATTAAATCAATAAGTGAACTAAACTTCCTCATGCAGCTCAAATCTAACTGCCAAATAAGTGCAAAAACAACTATTTTTTCGCCTATTGTTAAGGAGCACACAATAAGAATGACATCATGTGGTCAGATTTGGGTACTGCAGTCCATGTTTCAAAACAAACAAAACAACTGTTGTCAGTTACGGACCAGTGCCAGAAGATTCTAGGTGACCAACAAAGACGAGTCATACACAGTAAGGAGATGAGTATTAAAACTTAACGTTAGCATTGTTAGCATCTAGCCTTCTGTACTCAATATTAGAGTAAAACAAAAAGATGCTGCGACTTCTTAGGGGGACAAGTAATAACTCCTGGGTTGCTCCTGTTTTCTGGCTTTGGTTCCTTCAACAACATTTCTGCGTTTTGCCAAGCTGTGACCAATCACAAATGTCGGTGAAGCCTTGGCACAGATTGTAAACAATGATTACGTCCCTCTTCAGCTTTTCTCAAAGGTTTACAACTGACAACCCAGAAGGTAGAAAATGAAATCTGTTTCAACGTAAACTTCCTTCTAACATGAATGAGACATCAGAGTTTTGCGATTATTTACTGTAAAGTTCTTACATATTGCTTTTTAAGGCCTTCCTCTTGCTAGATGCATTTTGTTAGATAAAAAATACAGCAGAAAATTATTGTTTATGCTTTGCTTAGTTTGTGCAAAAGTACAGTCAAAGTACAGTCTGTGTACTACAGAAAAGTCATTAGGTAAAGTCACGCCTTAGATTAAATGTTACAGGAGGTTCATTTAAACAGTTTTTAGAAGGATGGAATCTCTTGTTTGTTTGAACTTCTTGTTTTGTAATTTTAAAAGTGATTCAAATAGAAATTCAAGCTAAAAGAACCTCTAAAGTCATTCAAGTGTTTTTATGTCATTTATAGGATCTTTTGTGACGTCAGTGTTTATGTTTCTTGCACTGCATCACGATAGTGTGTGGCAAGAAACAACTTATTTTGCTTATAAATCAATTGTTTTGCACGTTTGGAGGATTTAACGAAGCACATGGATTATTCTTGCTGTGTGGTTGGTTGTTTTATTGGGATTTCCTCCATAAACGACCACGAAATAGGAAAGAGATTACAGGAAGCAACCCAGACTCTCCAAAAAAGCCTGGACTACTGCAGCAATGGACAGTTTGCGAGGCTCATTTAGTTCATGGTAAGTCCTTGTGACTCAGCATTTGTTAATTAGAGATGTTTTTAAAAACATTAATCTTCCTGTATTGTAAATCCACTGAGTCATGTTGTTTTCCCATTCAGATTCCGGTGTCTCAACCCGCGATCATTATAATAATAAATAAAGAAATGAGGACACAGATTAATCAAGACTTACCCAGCTTTGCAGTCGCTGTGGGGATTTTTTTCTTTGGCCATTACCCACAGGTAACTGCTGCCATTAGCACGACCACCGCTTTCTGTTTTCAGATGAGATCGGCTCAACTTTCCTTAAAGCAAAATAATAGTAGGCCTCGAGACGTTTGAAAGCCTTTAATGTTTTATGAGTCAAGGCTCCAGGGCTTTCTGCTGAATGGGAATAAATGTCTCCCCAGCAGATGGGACCAATGTTTTGTGTCCTGCCAGAGCTCATACAGGCTTTTAATAACTTTTTTTTTTCTTCAATACAGATTTTAAGTTTCTCTCAACTCCTGTCTTTAGACGCTAAACCGTTTATATATTGGGGATATTGATAGCAGGCCATTTCATGTTTGTTTTTGCCACTAAGCCACTCGTGCACAAAGATGGAAAAAAAATGTCAACAAAGATCCTCTTATAATCCCATAATATAGTTTAATATCATGTTGTGAATCAGTTCAATAATCTCATGTAAAACAACTGTAGCAGAGATTAAAGTTTAATCTCCACCATTCATTTTTACCTTCAGGAAATTGGCTATGGAGCTGACATGGTTTGCACATAATCCCTTCCTGGCATCATTTACTCCCTCTCCGGTCTAAAACAGAAAAAATATCAACAATCTGATGTTTATTCACGACAGAGGAAAAGTCCGACTGAAATACAAACCCAGTTAATGAGGACATATTTGGGCAACCCAGAGTTAGGATCCTGAACCCGGCAGAATGCATACATGACTTTTCCACTGTTGAGCTCCTCCACCAGCTCCTCCAGACCTCCATCTGATGCATAAACATTGTGGAAAAGTTAAATGGGAACTGTGGCTTGTTGTGCAACTGTGGGACATGTTTTCCCTCTTAGCGAATGAAGTAGTGGGAAAGCAGAGGCAAGCAATTGTTTTGTGCTGATGTTTAACCGCTGCAACTGCATGCTGATGGCGACATTCCTGCACATGTGACCACATAAAAAAAACGTAATCACAGCATCCACTCATGTATTCACCTCCTTTTTCTGCCAGGCGGATGTCATTACTGTTTCCCTCATAAGTAAACAAGGCCCTGTAAAAAGAAACCACCAGATAAGTGATTAAAATACATCATTTCTCATGTAGCTAGTCGGGATGTTTGAGATCAGATTTTTACTGGGACCTGAAATACCGATACAGTCCAACTCTTAATTTCTGATCCCGATATAAACAGATACCAATATATGCCGCCTATGAAAAAAGAAAAAGTAAATCAATCGTGCGTATTTACGCAGAAAACTATTTTGAAAAGTATTTGAATATACACATTAGGGAAGTTGTGTCAAACAAACATAAATATCTCAAAGATTTTACCTCTGATCTGACATATTTGGACATTTTGAATGAGAGGGGAAGTTGCTGAAGAGTTTGATCTATAATACTAGTTTGGTATGTAAAAGTTGTGCCGTTAAAAGTAATAACCGATGATTTCTAATATTACATTTTAATGCCAATATCGGCCGATAATATCGGAGATCCCCAATTGCTGGCTTTGTTTTTAACAAGGCAAATCAGTAAACTTCACTGGCTGCTTGCTTCAGTTTCTATAAATATTTAATTTAATTTGTTTGAGAAATAAAGCTTCTAATTATGACTTAAGTAGATTTAGACAAATTAGAACTTTAGGCCTAAAATCAAAATTGAAGTTTGTTCTACGAAGACGTATTCTTGACTCTGCATCCTGTGTCCAAGGGAAGTTAAAATCCCTCCAGGGGAAAAATATGTAAGTGAAAAGAATGAATGCTTCATTAAGATTAGGTATTCACCAATCTATCGGTCAGGCAATATTTGCCATTTTTGATATACTGGGACCGATGTAGGTACCGGATCGGCTCGGGGTCCTGCGTCTGCCAACAACGTCAAACTACGGCAATACCACATGGCCAAAATACATGGCATCTCTTTTCCGATACTATTTTTTTTTCCAGACATAGGTTTTGGGAAGAGTTTAGCCATTTTGTTATTAAATTAATGTTTATTAATGCCTAATTTTTTTCTTTATAACTGCAATTTGTCAATAAAACACCACATTGTCTTCGCTTTGTAAAGCATGTGAAACTACAAAAAACCAGGATCAGACTGCGAAACAATCCTCATATGTGAAATGTTTAAAATGCGTTTACATAATTAGTAGCCCTTTGGTTGTATAAATGTGGAATTCTTCTGTACAGTTCATTAGTTTTTATGTAAATAAATATATGCATTTATTAATTTCTTCAAAATGTTATATACTTGTTATTTGTTCAATAAAGTTCTTTTGAATTTTGCCTTATTTAATCAAAATCAGAGCTGTACAGGGTGTCCATTTATCAGTTGATATTTTTGCTTTTATTTTACATTTGCTTTGGTAATAAAAACACATCTTCCCAGAAAAAAAATATAATTTTTTGGACTACAGCTGCAAGGACTAAAAGGACTACAACCACAAATTTGTGCTGACCAATCAAACCTTCAGTGTGGACGTGCTAATGTAACTTTTACAAAAGTAACTTCTGTAAGTCATACACCCAGCCAAGTATCCAGTGTGAAGTCAACGGCAGGCGCAGAACTGCGAGCAGATCCGGTACACACACGGGCTCATATGCCACTTTAGTAGAGCCAACTGAAAATCAAGCACATCCACGGGCAGCCCAGTGCTGTCGCAGAATTTTATTTACATGTATATTTACATTCCTGAAAAACATCTGCTTAGTAAATGTTCAAAAATATTATTTACATTAATTTTTATTTACTTATGTTTTATACTTAGTTTATTGATTTGTTTGATTAACTTTTTACAGAGCAGTGCACAAATGCTCAAAAACTGATTCAGAATAGCTGAAAGTCAACTGTTAGTGTAACATTTTAGCCAGCAAATGAGGCGGAAATTATTGGCCTTGAACATTGACGGCACATATCAACATCTGTATCTGTGATAGAAAAACTCAGATCGATCAATCTCTATTTTCGATAGCCTGCCCTCTAGGGCAGGGTGATAAATCGAAAATTTATCGTTATCAAAATTTGTGACTCTTATCAAGATAATTTTTCTCATGTCAATAAAATTTGATAATAAAAAAATGAAAAGATGTATGCAGGTTGGCGATGTTCATGTCCCTTTAAGAAGCTATACCACACTGAGTCACGTAAAAATGTGACTCAACGTAATACATGTGACAGTCCCATCTAGTGGACAAATTTTGTTTCTGTGCGTACCTGTAGTTATCGTCCATTTATTGGTGAAATCCTCAATATATATCGGGATATTGATTTTAGACAGAAGTGGAAAGAGTACTAAAATTTCCTACTTAAGTACGAGTACCAATAATTTGATAATTTTTTACTCAAGTACAAGTAAAAGTACTTGCCTAAATTTTACTCAAGTAAAAGTAAAAAGTATCGTAATTAAAATGTACTCAGTTAGCTACTTAGTTACATTTTTGTCAGCGTTAAGTATTGCTACATCTAAGTAGTGCAAAATCACAATCTCTCATAAGATAAAACATTATCGTAGACACTATTGAGACGTCATTCACGAAATAGAAGTTATTTTTGTTCGTCATTACTTCAACCAAGAAATAAGATGCATGGATTTGATGAAACCACGCCGTCTCATGCAGTCCTATATGTGTAACACACACACACACACACACACACACACACACACACACACACACACACACACACACAAACACACACACACACAAACACACACACACACACACACACTGCAGCATTTTTGAATCACTTGAATGACTAATTTAACTACATTGAACTTATTTTTACTCAGTAATGGATATGATTTAAAATGTAGTGAATTACAATTCTTTAAAAAAAACATACTCAAGTAAAAGTAAAAGTACAGATTTTAAAAACGACTATAAAAGTATAAATACACAAAAGCTACTCGGTTACAGTAACGTGAGTAAATGTAATTCGTTACTTTCCACCTCTGATTTTAGGCCATATCGCCCAGCCCTACTGCCCTCACAAAGAGTAGCAAAATAAATAAATAAATAAAACTTTAGCTTCGCCTGGTCTTGAGATGTAAATGTTTGAGCCTGAACATGTAAAGCAGTGTTTGGTAAGGTAAACATACAAGAAGCAGAGCCTGAGGGTAAAATCCAGCTTGTAGCTTTGGACTGTTGCTTCCCATGTCACTGATAACAGCACGTCTTAGTACAAACAACGACCTGACGACTAAGATTTGTGACTGCAAGATCACTTCTTTATTCTGTTTCTGCCTTTTCCTGTCGGCACATTTTGAGAAAACAAGTGACACAACAGAAATACGTCAGATTTTAATTAAATAAGCATCTAAAACTGGGTGGAAAAAATGAGAAGATTAAACATTTGAAGCGGTCGTCTGCTGTGATGCTTGGTGACCTAAAGAGGAAGTCTCAGTTGAACTACATCTATAATACCACATCTCACCAGGAAGTGGACCATGTAGCTGCTGCCTTAACTCAACAATAACTAAAAGAACCTGATTCGGTTTCATTGGTCAAGTTTACCAAAATATGAACGAATTACCAGTATTTACGTTAGCAGACCCCCACAGAATGGAAAAAACGATGAAAAAACGATAAAAGCAGAAGCCAAAGCGAAAGCTAAATTAACATGACGATGGTGCTTCTTCATAAAAGTAAAAAGTTAATCGTGGTGAACAAATAAGCAGTAAATTGCATGTTAAGGTTGAGTTTATGTGCGTCTTTGAGGTTCACTTACTCACGACTGACTCAAAGCTAGCAAACACTGTAGCTAACCAGCACCGGTGTACTAGCCAACAGCGATTTAAAAATGTCTTCTTACCAGTTGGTGTTGGACTTTTCATCTACTACTTCTTTATAGGCAGCTGTTAATGCAGGGCCATTTTTGCTGAGGTTTACAGACATGGTTTTGCTGAGTTCAGCTAGCCAGATAGCTCTCGGGACTGCGCCCTTCCTACAGGAGGAGTGGCAATGATGCTGACTTTCAGCTATGGGACGCTAGCTAAGGTTTACTGCATCTTTCTAACCGAAACACTCCGGAAGGGCGGACCTAGAGTCATTGTTAATCATTTTAAACTTAAACCCGAATTAGAGCCATCTTGTATGTTTATAATTTGTACGACGAGTAAGTTTATCAATTCAGAAAAGAGAGTTGTGTTCTACAATCTTCTTGTAAAACCATTTGTAAAGTCTGCACCGTACACTGTGCACTGCGGCTTCTGCATCAAACGCACCCCTACGTAAACGTAATCTGTGGCCCCAGGACACAAACTTTTTAAAGGGCCCTCAGTTTATAAAAATGAGAAAAAAAGACATGACACGTTTGTATACTCATTAAAATGTAATAAATTAAAGAAAGTGGAATTACTGAAACGTTTAGAGGCAGGGTAATTTACTCATCAGACTACACTGTGCTTCCAGACTAATTTATTAAACATTTGACATGTTTATTCAAACTATTCAGAAACAGAAGCTACATATTTTGCATCAAACAAGCACAAAATTAACTACAGACAAAGATAAACCAAGGTGAGCTTTATTTTCATGTTATAACAAGGTCAATTGGGTTTTGTTCATAAGTAAAGATGTTGATGCAGAAGAAACACATTTACTCCAGTTTTAAAGATGCATGAAGGCTGATTCTGCGTTCCATCAAAGCCGGATATTTGTTATTTAAGCATGCTGTTATATCAATGAAGTGAATCCCCCAAATTTGGGATAACTCCTGACAGCAAAGTTACAGTTAATGGCACATCCTCTACACAGAATGAGGGTTAAGGCTAGAATTTTAGTTTGAGGTGTTAGGCAAATGAATTGTGACAAAATCCCTGATTTCTGGCAAATGGCCATGAGAAGTTTCTCCAGAGCAATGCATGCCAAGCTGCCTAATAAAACTCTACCGAGCACATTGGACACGGGAAGTCACTGTTGCTTCACTCACATTGTTGGGGTTGCATTCAGTCATAGTTGGCCTTTCACTGCATATATAGGATGTATTTTTTTAAGTTTTTAGTTTACATTGTATTTCAGAACTTGGTTACTTTTACAGCAGCTAAAATTATAAAAATGTATATGCAGTGCCTAAATCTGTTAATTCTACAAGACCCATCATGCTTTTCTATATTTCTAGATTATTCTATTCAATTGTAAATCCACGGCAAAATTGATTTCCCCTTATATCAAATTACTCCCTTTAAATGGGCAGAACCAGCAAAGTGAAACAACTGTAAAAAATAACTTCTGCAGTTACAATATGAACCTTAGACATGGTGAGGAACACCAATCATGCTAGATTTTTGTTACATAAAAGGGGGAAAAAGACAAAAATGTAAGTTTTTAGAAATAAACAAAAACACAGATGTATCATGGAGACAAAATATTTTACTGTCAGTGTTAATAAAAATAAATAAATAAAAATTAATGAGTTTGCAGATCCACTCATGAACATGAAGAAATGCAAAGCATCAAATCAGTGTTTGCATCTCTCATGGTAAGATGCTGCATTTATTCATCATAATTCCATGCTCATGAAATTGACTACCTGGGTTTTTAAAAGGTTCATTTCTGCTCAACATAGTCGTTTTTGATACAAGGGGACACCACTTAAAGCCAAACGCTATTCCATTACAAGAAAATATACAAGTTGAGTAAAATGTTTAGATCCCAGGGTTTTTTTAATAAAAAGTATGAAAACCTGGAGAATAATGCAAATGACAGTTATTCTCTCTCTCTCTCACACACACACACACTCACACACACTAGTGCATAACATATTGCCTCTTTGTGGAGGGAACAGAGATTAGAACTATATATTTATAAGACTGATGACAGATGGCTGGGACATGTCTTCCACCACGAACTGATAACGCGGTTAGGTACCTGAGTAACTGTACTGAGGAGATGGCACACTGTTAGGTTCTACGCCAGAGAGTAGCAGTGTTCATAGCCACCCAACACAAAGAAAAGTAGTATTTGAGCACTATGAATAAGCTGATGGTTGTTAAGTATGGAAGGCCAGTGATGGCACATATGAAAGAGAGAAATGAACATTCACCCAAAGAAAAAGAGGAATAAATGTAAGCCAGCAGGCTCTGAACAGCAGCTCTCCAGTGTCTTCAACACGTTCTAATACTGCTCAATGTTCATTTTCAGTGGACAATAAAAACCAATGTTTTTTTTATTTTTCTTTTGGAGCATTTCACATTGCTTCGGGGTAGAGACAGTACCAACAAAACATCTGCTGGTGATGGCACTGCACCATGTTGTGTTCAACGGGGAACATTCTGCCTCAATTGCACGTGTACTACAAATGTAACACAGAAGGCCACTAAATAACAGAAATACAGCAAAAACCCAGTGGGGCACAGATAGTACCGCTGAAATGAAGAGAAAACAAGTCTCCTAAATCAAATATGTTGCATCTCTGTAACACAATTTCATGACTCACTGAGAGTAAAAATAAAGTGTAGGAGTAGCAATAATGATGGTGATAACAATAATAACAATAGCAATAAGAGGGGTAAGGTTTACAGTCTCAGTGTGGCATCAGGTACTGTAAAGAAATTCCAGTATTCCATATGGGAGTGCTTTAAGAAGTCCATCAGGTCCTGCTCGCAGATCCATACAAGTCATGAAGGACAGCACATGGTAGCAGCTCAGCACACAGAAAGCCAAGTGGCACTGTACCTCATTGTATCAATTCCTTTTCAAAACATGTTTATTTTTTTTCTCCTCTGTTGCTCATTTGCCTCAAGTTACAGACCCTCTGTGGTTCTTTTGTTCTCATTTTTATTTTAATCTCCATGGTGCTCTTACATTGCATACTTCTGTGTCCATTCTCTTGCTAACTTGTTGTACCTGTAAAGACAGTTTCAAGTTGAATCCTGCCAACATGTTTGTTTTGGACAGAAACATTAGTTGGACAGTGGCCTCAGCCGAACAAGGTGCTTGTTGCACTTACTTTTCCCTGTCAGCCTTGTATGTATGAGCAATCTCTGGGACCAATGGGTCATCAGGATTTGGATCACACAGAAGAGAGCAGATAGACAATAAGACTGTGGAAAGATGAATCGGGGAAAGTTACTGAGTACATTTACAGATTCTGCCAATAAAAGCTTTAATTATGCTCTAAAGCGACCACTGAATGCTTCTTGTCTGAAATAGATATAATCAGTGGTAATTTTGCTGACAAAGTATTTTCATCATGAATATATCTTTGCAGACTAAATTGAAACAAACAAAAAACTTGGATAATGACTAAATTGAGTGACGTGTTTGTTAACAAATAAAAGTTACAACGAAAATCCAACCAGACGACGGACAAAAGAACCATCATCATTATAAACACAAAGACTAGTTTAAATCTAGTTGAATAACTCACCTTTTGACACGGTAAGAGCTGGTGACCACTGTGACCTCAGTATGTCCAGACAAATACTGCCATTGCTGTTGATATTTGGGTGGTAAATCTTTGTTGTGAATGCAACCTGTTAAAAAAACACAGAAACAAAACATTTTTATTAATACATATGGACTGAGGACATGTGTTTAAAAAACTTAGAGAGGAGACTCACTTTTGGTGGTTTGAAGGGGTAATCTGTTGGAAAATGAATGGTGAGGAAAAACACTCCACTCTGATAGGGGCTGTCACTCTATTAAAACAAAAATACAAACAAATTATGAAAACATTAAATACCAGTGAACTTGAATTAAAAGTAAAAGGTGTTACTTACTGGACCCATTATTGTTGCCTGCCAGTGAAACACTAGTGTTGAAAACGAGAAAATATAGAAAAGCTGTAATCATTATGCAAAACGCTGTTGCAATTTTTTTTTATTACATGTAATGGAAAACATTGCTATTTTAAGACACAGAACAATTTTCTAGCTACTTACAATCGTCTGAAACTGGTCCTGCAGAGCACTGGGCAGGAGGGTCCCTCTGCAGGTCAGACAGTTCCTAAAAAAAGTGACACAGTCAATATGGCTGGAATTTAAAGAGCAAGTCAACCCTTACCAGAGTCTTACACCACTCCCACTTCCTGCTTGAAAAAGCCAAATAATGTGGTTGCCTGGCAGACCAAGCGGGTTGAGCCACTAACAATTACACACACACAGGCTCAAAACAACATTGTGACATCATAATGTACCCCCAATAGAGCTGTAGCGACGCATCGATGACGTAGACTGCTCGATTCTAAAAAATTGTCGATGTCAGATCCGGTAGTCGACGCACCACGCCCACTTGTTGCATCCCCAGGAGTTTGTAAATCGAGGAGGAATCTGCCTGTTTTTCCTCTAGTTCGCCCTCTTCTCCGTCTTCACTAACATCTCCGCCAAATACCGAAGAACCGGAACAATGTCCATCCGCTACTAGATTCCTTTCCTGTTTTGCCCGCCTTCATCTCCCGGCAACGGACAACAATTTCTGGGATCAAATGCGCTGCTTCGTGTCTACCGCAGATGTAGAAATCACCGGGAGAGTTTCTCCCTTCATAAAGGAGCTTCTTTCAGACATTAGGAGAGCTGTTTTGTGGTAGCAGCCTCTCCTCCATGCTGGTCTGTTTGCTGCTGGGTATTTTTGGTTTATTTAAACTTGGTAACTTGAACTTAACGTTGGTAAAGCTACTGTTAGCATTTTCGCTAACAGCTTCTTGCGATAGGATAAGCTGTTACGATTTGATTTAGAGTTCATCTTTTTTGTGGCGTAGATCTCCTTTTAATTACATTTAGAGTGTCGTGGGTTTTCGGTTTAGTTTAAAATTTCACCTTGAGTTTGGTTTAACCGCCCAGTTTAGAGTTTGGACCTTTGGAGATTCTTATTTTGGTCCAGAACCCAGTAATCTTTGCCCTGCGGGACATCCCTAGTTATTTGTACTTTTGTTTTAATTCCCCACAGGCAGAATTAGTTTTATTATTCCCAACCTGTGGATGGAAAGATTTATGTTTTTTTGTTGTTGTTGTAAATAAACCTGATCATCATTTTAACTTTTAAATCCTGTGTTATTGTCCCTTCCTTTTTGCACACGAGCCAAACTCCCCAGGAAGGGTCGTAACAGCACTCGCCTCACGCACATAAGTAACCAAAACAAAGCAGCATGGAGACACTCCATCTTCTACCACCTCTCAGGCAGCAGCCTGCACTCCCAAGTTCTACACATCACCATTCATTGACTTGCTCTTTAAAACACTTTTGCAGAATTTCATGCTTTTACTACAAAATGTGCCTTTTCAGTTTCTCAAGTTCATATTTTAGGAAAAAAAAAAAAAAGACAACAGCTTGTGTACGTAACAGTTACAAATTAAATGCTGCAATAAACATACAGCAGGGTTCATTTATGTGAACATATCTGTTAAAGCAAGCATTGTAACATCTGCGGTTTAAAGATATGGAGAGGTATTTGTCAGAGCTGCAAAGTTTTATATTCATTTATACATTCCTACAACAACTTGTGGTTGAAGTTCCTGCAAAACAATGTATTTAACACTAGGGCTGCACAATATTAGGAAAACCTACGATGCACAATTACAGTGATTATTTTTGCGATGATTATATGACTTGCAATACATAAATAGTAACTCAAGAACAAAAAAATGTATCAAAAACCAAATCATAAAAATAAAATAAAGACTCAGGGGATCCCAGGAAAAGAATAGTCGGCAGAAAGAGCAGAACAAAGCTAACTCTGGTGTTTGCTAGCCATACAAATGAAGTGCTGTCTACCTAGGTGGCGGTATCTAACCTATAAGAACTCACCCAATTGGCCAAACAGGTGAAGGACTATTTGAGCAGTCAAAAACATAATGCTTCAGTTTGACTGACAATATGCTTTATTATGTGTAGCAAAAAATTAAGATGATGCTTTATTGCAGTTTTTTTCTGTTCTTTGCAATATGAGTATTGTGTATGCTGATAGTGTGATGACGATACATTTGTGATGCACAGTGCAGCCCTATTTGCAACACTTTTCCTCTTTTGTCTTCAGTACAAATAAAATTCAACTTCAGACATGACATCATTGCGCAACACAAAATGTTGTTTTATAGACATATTTCCAGAAAACAAGGACAAGCTGTTTAGTTTAGCAAACACATAATAACAACAAATATTACAAATATAAAACAAAATGGACAAAAACGAAACTAAATCAAATTAACTCAGTCCACAGCCCAAGTAACCAATCTACATTTGCATCACACACAAAAGCACAGACAGCAAAACACGATGCTTGAACAGAAATTAAGCCTGTTATTTAACATCTCATGTAAGGAAGCCTATTATATAAATACACACCATGGCCTGTTCCAGTGCCCCATTTGCCATTCCATATATGGCAACACTGACTCTAGGGTTCAGTTTTGGCAACAATCGAGCAGCTGTCATTCAGCGAATTTATACGTCGTCATACATAATTTTACAAGGTAAACTAAAACGATAAATGTGACTGATAAATTAGTGATCAAGAACAAAATCCAGGCAAGGACTACACGTTACAACCGTTAGCAGGAAAGCTAACCTCCCACGAAGTAACAGTAACAACTTCTTACTCCAGAGTCCTTATCAAAGTTTCAGGATTAATATGAAAAATGTCAGACGAGCAGGATGTAATAACCCAAATGAAAGCTTAATTGGGTAGTTACGTTAATGTTAGCCAAGCACAAACCGGGCCACCGTTGGTCAGCTCGCCTTTGTCTTTGAATTATTTTTTAAATGAACAAAACGCTCAACGGCGTAGCTAGTTCACCTCTAAAACGCCACACACATGTACTTTATCAAAACGGTTCGAAAAGAGGAAGAAACATCGAATCTGAATCATGTCTTAAACTTAATAAATATAAACACTCACCTTCTGAATTCTTTTCAACGCCATTGCTTCGGCGGCTATGCTAGGTAGCCTGTCAGCTAACAGTTAGCACCTTAGACATACAATTTGGATTCTGTAGCCGCGTTCTATCAAACCTCACTTCAATTACAGGTATGAAATTACGTCTAACATCCAGTAAATTTCGGCTTTTTCGCTCTATGACAAATATTTCCCCACGACCTGTTAATTTTCGGTTCGTCAGAGAGCTACAAAACAACTTAGATATTTAGCTTTCTATTCCTCTCTCTTCTCGGTGCCGAGAAAACAGTTACTATCGCGAGCTTTCGTTTAAAAACTACAATGGCACTGTCGGTAGTGTCACGATTTCTATTTTAAGGGTCATTTTATTGACTACAGAACAGAGGCGTTAAAAATATACATATTTACTACTCAAGTTTAGATACTAGGGGGTTTAAAGACTTCTGTTGAAGTTGAAGGATCAATTCAAGCATGATACTTGGGTAGAAGTAAAAAGTACAGGTTTCAAAAGTGCTTAGGCTTATCGAAAAAGCGTATAAAAATACTAAGATTGACAAATATGGGATACACTGGGCCCCCAATTCCCTCTTCAGTTCAATAAAACATTAATGCATTTTAGTGACATGAAAATAGCTACTTACTGCATGTGGGTGGTAGATGAATGATTACTTATTTTCTAACCCCAATCAAATTCACTTTATCCAGATGGGCAATTTCGCAATTTTGTCTTTCTGTATTTTGTTTTAACAATGGCAAGCCAAAATTTAGTAGGAGTGATGAGGCTGTTGTTAAAGAGCAAGTCACCCCAAATCAACCTTTTTTTTCCTGATAAACTATATAAATGCGTGTCTAATCATGCTGCAGACACATGCAGTCAATAGTTTTGCACTTTAGTGCAATTTAGTTAAAATTTAATTTTTCTGCCTAAAACTGTCAGTGTTGTGCTGTTGTCAGGTAAAAACTCTGCACTGCATTTGAATTTTAATTAAATTCACTTCAAAAATACTTTATTAATCCCAGAGGGAAATTGATTTCTGTAGTTGCTCAGAATCTGACACCGCTATTGGCTAAGAGGTACCGTAGGACGTTAGCTGGTACCATATGATGTCACAATGTCGTTGTGAGCCTGTGTGTATTTGTTAGTGGCTCCGCCCTCTCGGTCTGCTAGGCAACAGCATTTGTTGCATTTTTCAAACAGGAAGTGGGAGTGGAGTAAGACTCTGGTAGGGGATGACTTGCTCTTTAAAAACTGAGGAGCAGAAAGGGCATAAAATTGCATGAAAATGTCGTCGTCTTCCTCCGCTTATCCGGGTGCGGGTCGTGGGGGCAGCATCCCAGCTAGGGAGCTCCAGACCGTCATCTCCTCGGCTACCTCCACCAGTTCCTCCGGCAGGACCCCAAGGCGTTCACGGACCAGATTGGAGATGTAACCTCTCCAACGTGTCCTGGGTCGACCCGGGGGCCTCCTGCCGGCTGGACATGCAAGAAACACATCCCCAGGGAGGTGTCCAGGAGGCATCCTGACCAGATGCCCAAACCACCTCAACTGACTCCTTTCGATCCAGAGGAGAAGCGGTCCCTCCCGAATGTCCGAGCTCCTCACCCTATCTCTAAGGCTGAGCCTGGCCACCCTACGGAGGAAATTCATTTAAGCCGCTTGTATTTGCGATCTTGTTCTTTCGGTCAATACCCAAAGCTCATGACCATAGGCAGGGGCGGATTAAGGACTGAAGAAGATCCGGGGCTTAACACACACACACGCGCACACACACACACACACACGTGACATGCACTAGTCAATATCATAAATATTTGTCTTGTACCACATAATTTTTAATCTGAAGCTACATATTAAGCATATTCAGGGCAGAGTATTGTTCCTGTTAGTGTTTAGTGTGAGATGATAGTAAATATTCCCTTTCTTTCTCCATCAACTTTACCTGATAGTAAGCTAACTTTAGGCAAACCAGCAGCACAACAAATATTTTCAAATAAGACTCACAAACCTGAGTCAACACCAGTCTCATCTAAGCTGGGGTTCTGTCGTGGTACTTTTGGTCTAAAACCCGTCCTTATGTCCATCTTCACACATGCGTCTCAGGCAGAGACCGTAGAAGAAGCCAGCTACTGAAGGGCTTCTTCTTCAGTGGTGGAGGCTCAGGCAGGCTGTATACAAACTACTGCTAGCTGCTCCCTCTCTGTTGGACTTTGGTACTGCATGTTACTTCCACGTTTCAGATCCGGGGCTTTTCATTAAAGATTCGGGGCTTGAGCCCAAGTAGCCGGGCCTAATGCCGCCCCTGACTATAGGTGAGGATTGGGACGTAGATCGACCGGTAAATCGAGAGCCTGGCTTTCTGGCTCAGCTCCCTCTTCACCACGACAGATAGGCTCAGCGTCTGCATCACTGAAGACACCAAACCAATCCGCCTGTTGATCTCCCGATCCCTCCTACCCTCACTTGTGAACAAGACCCCGAGATACTTAAATTCCTCCACTTGAGGTAGGACCTCTCTCCCAACTCGGAGTTGGCAAGCCACCCTT